CAAATTATCAATATTTTTATTTTTTAAGTTTACCAAAAAAACTTTGATGATTGTATTATTTTATAATTGTAATGAATTGTTTCGAAGTTTGTTCTGCAACTTTTTTTTCTTTACGGTAGAAATGATTTTTTTAATGTAAATTTAGTATTTTTGCATGTATGTTATTATAATTAATTTATTTTATGATATTAATTAATGTGCATATTTAACATGGTTTTTTTTTACGAAATCTAATTTACATAAAGTGAAATTAAATTCTAAGTATATATTACCACTGAAACACTTTATTTTGATGATATAACTGGAGTAAAGAACGAAAGCAAAGAAGTCGTGAAAGATAAATGCGTGATGGAGCTGCCTAACTGGAGACATCTCAAGATTCTTAAGTTAAAGAAACCATCTAGATTATTGGGCTATTGTTGGGCCAAACAATATGAGGTGAAGGCTTTAAAATCTTTTCCCCCTTTCACATGGACCACTAATGAATAGATTATTGGGCTCTTCTATAGGCCCAACAACATGAGGGCGACGGCTCCAAAATCTCTTTCACATGGTCCAGTAATGCTTCAACAAAGGCGATGTGACCTTTGCTTGTTAGGCTCATTCATGGGAATGGTCTTCGACAACCCAAATGGCAGTGGCAGGCTCGTCGTCCTGTAATAATAACAGCAACTGCTGCATTTCACGAAATAAGTCAAAAGAAGCGGAAATCACGGACCGTAAATAATCAATCTTGTAGCTCTCATCCGAATACGAAAGGTTGGCATGGCAATGATGAGACTGCAACCACATGCATCGTCTGCTCTCTGCTCAGTGCTCAGCGCTCAGCGCTCAGCTAAGGAAAGCAAACTCCATTCAAACCAAAAGTTAAAACCCAAGTTCTGAATGCTTTTAGTTTTAACCAATGCATATAGCCTCAGGGTTTGGGCTCCAAGTTTATTTCAACATGAGATTCGCATATCCCATGTTAAGCAAATATTCCAGTCAACTTTTAAAACTGGCAACTGCCTGGATATGTGGGCTTTGGAGAAAAGCACTAAAATAAAGCTATCCAAATCTTTAAGTTTAAATTTTTACCAATATATATAAATTGATCTATTTATAGATTAAATCCATTACTTTCTGAATTAAATCAATACCAGAATATGTTAGTATATTCATTGATTATTGAACACAAATTTAATATCATTAAAAAATAAATATGTCTAGTTATTTACGAATAACGAGAATTAAATTTTTATTTTATCTTAATCAAAACAATCATCTTATCTGAGATCATATTCTTTGGTATTTTAAACTTTTACAACTTAAGAAAAATAGTGTTTACGCTTAGAGAAATTAATTGAAGAACTGTTTTATTACGTGATTTATGTCCATAAGAATGTTTTTCAATTGAAGTTTAATAATAGCTAACAAAGTTCCTAAGAAGGTGAAAAAATGTAAAGATGAATGAATAATCTCTTATGTTATATATATATAGTTCGTTTTTTTTTCTTTTTTGTCAATTGTAACTTCTACTATGACTCAGAGCCTCTTTACCAGTAACTTTTTTTTCCCCTTGTAGAAAAAGAAAGAATGTTTTGTTTGTAACTGCGTACTTTATGCTCAAACTTCTTCCATATGCCAATAACAAGTTTGAGTGGTTTGGTGGGGAAAAGTAGTTGGACATTGTTTGGTTTTAAGGAGACAATTAAACTATTAAGATTTATAATTTTACTTGAAAGTCTTAATTCATATTTTAGGAAGGAAAAAATGATTTAGAGAGGATTATTCCGTTATATAGCTTAAGATTGATTGAACTTAAGGAAAAAAAATATTATTTAGTAATTTATAATACTATTAATTATGTTTAGATTTAAATCCTATTACGACCATAACACAATACTGATGACAAGTGATAGCTCATTTTACGCCTTTTTTTTTTTTTTTTTTTTTCTTCTCTTTCTGGTGACAACTATAAAAACATATGATGCATGCCCTTTCACCATCAAATTGTCTAAATCATTTCCTTCAGGGAAAAAAAAACTGAAAATGGAAAGGTTATAATAAATAATTGACTGTGCATTGGGATTTCATTTTTGCTATTTTCGAACATAAGATCACCGAAGTCAATCAGATTCCAATCGCTCAGGGAGATGCCAGGAAGTCCATTTATGTAATTAAGTAGAATCCTATATTATCCACCTGTTGCAAGATTGGACTTCCCACGTTCCCAGTTCTCACTATAAGGTTAACGTTTTCAAGTTCTCAGCCAATAAGAAATATAGTGTCAACTTTTTGAGAGCCCAATCTTCTCTTTTTACAGAGAAGCATATAGAAAATGAACATGGAAGCATGCTTTTGCATGTGGGAAGATATCAGAGGAGCACATGATGGTATGATAACCTAAGTCCAATTGTCGAACAAACATGCCATATGGTGAAATCCGGGCCATCGCTTTCTGAGCAGAAGTTCCCATCCTTGGCGTGCAGATTTTCATTTTCTTGGAACTCATTTATCCAAACTAGCATTATTTTGTAGTATATTTTTACACAAAGAATCTGTTTCAATAATTCTTAGGACCATATGTTTCCCTGGCCACCTTTTTTTGGTTCTTTTCATTAATTCTCTTGCTGCTTTGTATTCATCAGTTACTAACCTCTTCCTTTCTATCCAACATATCTTGGGCCCTGTACATGTTCACTCCTGATTAAATGAAAGGAAGAAAAGAAAGGAAAAAAAGAAAGGTTTTTGGAATACACAACCTAATAATGCTGTACCGCATATGCAATACCCAACATCCAATCATTGAAAAGAATTACTGGAAAAGAAAATGCCATCACATGGAGATTGATACAATTAAGTTGAGCAGCACTCTGGTATTGGTGTTACTAATTTAACTAAATAGCAGCAGGAACTCCCATGTTTCCTCGTCTACTCTTGTGCTTATTAGTGTAATTAAATAAAGGAGACACAACTAGATTAACTTAATGCAAATGTCCATTCTTAGGAGCACAAACTGATTTTCAACAATTCTCTAAAAGCTTTAACGGTTGGATTATGAAAAAACAGTTGATGAAAAAAAATTATTAAAAACAAAAGCAATGTAGACCAACAAATTAACTTGGGTGTTACATATCAGATTATTCATTTTTAAGGAACGCATGAAAATAAGATCTCCAAAATGAAATGCTGCAAACAAAGAGCTGGTTTCTTGTACACCAGACGAAAAACCCAAAATATACACCCATCCATATTCCCATTATTCAAGAGTTTTTTTTTTTAAAAAAAATTAAGAACTAGGCAACTGAGATGGTACTAATTAAGACTCCATTCCGTGTGACGGATTTCATTCGAGTGGATGGGCTGCGGTTTTATCTGCTCTGAGGATGAGTACCAAAAATTCCTTGGCTTATCCATATTTCCTAGCTTCTTGCTACGAATGCTCCATTCCCAGATCCTGCATCTGCATGGGTCTTTATTCACTCTTTTGTGACTCACTCAAAGAACTCAAAGATTTCTACATCAATGCCATGCTTGTGTTCACCGCCTTTCTCCGACAATGATTTTGTGCTATAGCATTCAACTGAATCAACCCATTGTTTATTATGCCCACGAGTCAAGATCTCATTTTCTCAGGCTCAAGTTGTGACCAATAGTTACTCTAAACCTGTGTTCCAAAGCAGCAGGAGCACCCCCAAATTATTGAAGGAAAAAAGAAAAAGAAAATGTTGGTTGTAGCACCATTACACTTGCCGCGTGGAGAGCATAATATATCCATTTTATAGTTCCCTTTCTTGGTAAGAAATGAGTACATCCATGTATTTTGTTATGTGTTTGTCAAAAAAAAAAAAAAAAAAAAGAATATAACTTGAAATGCAATTTTCCTATACCACTTGAATGCAAGTGTGTTAGATGACAACCCCTTGGGGGCTATGGGTGGCAATAACCAGTTTCGCTGCAAGCAAAGTGAACCATTACCCGATTACACAAGTCTCTATTGGTATTTGGTTCGACGTATTAACAAACATTTGTATCCCCCTAAATTTCTCTCTTATGTCAAACAATGCAGATTATTGAAATGTTGCAGTAATTTTTTTCACCTCTAGCGTCGAATAAACTTCCAAGCACTGAAGCACGTGATGAAAGCAAGAGTATTGCCCAAGAGAAGTCCATTTCACGAATTTAACTCATAGCCCAGTAGATAGGCATTGTGTTCCAGGCGTATTCTGCGTGACTCCCTGTCACATCCCTTTCAAGTGAACTGAAGAAGTAACTTGAACTGGTTCTAAGGCACATAGCCATTGACTCTTATCGACTTATCCTACCAAAATCATTAACTAAGCCATAACGTAATTAAAATTTTCATGTGTCTGTCATTGTTTTGCCATTAATGCCCCTAGATGTCCATATCTTTCGGACAAGGGAAACCATGAATTGACATTACATTTTGTTAAAAATATAATAAAAAAAATTGGCAGTACATAGCCTCAAGGGCAGTTTGGTATAATAAGGGCTTTAGGATTCCCATTGCCAAGGAATGTTAAGCAATATTACCTTTGGTTTGTCAAGGAATCTCAAATTCTAAAAAATATGAGAAGTTTTGTGTTTGCTGTATACTTGAAAATTTTATGGTATCTAAGATTTATAAAAAGAAGGGGAGTTTCATTTTTCCTCACTATATAAAAAAAAATCCCAGTACCAAACGGCTCCTAAAGGGTACCTAATATGATTGCGAGAAAAAATAAAAAATAAAGAAAACTAAAGGGTACCTAATGTCAAACTGAAAAATGCAGTAAGCACAAACATACCAATTCCCGTTATTAAACAAGTTACGAAAAAGAAGGATTAACTAAGGCCTGGAAGTTGTAAAAGGACAAGGGCTTAATTATTATGGTAATATATAGTTAGAAGCAGCTTTTTCTTTATAAATACAGAGAAAGGAAGGCCTCTGTTCTTCACTGCGGCTTGCAGGTTGGTTAGTTGGCTGGTCTTGGTTGTTTTGCTTTGGGCAGACCAAAATGGCTTTCTCTGTTTCCTCTTTGATACTTCTTGTCCTCTCCTCTTGTTTTGCTACTTCTTTTCTTGTATGCCATGGCTTTCCTGTCCATCACAACAACCCATTTCGCCACCATCGCTTTGCCAGTCACAACTACAGAGATGCCCTGACCAAATCAATCCTCTTCTTTGAAGGCCAAAGGTCAGGCAAACTCCCTTCTAGCCAGAGGATCACATGGAGAAGAGACTCTGGCCTAACAGATGGCTCAGCCATGCATGTATGTGTACAAAGATGATTCCCTTTTCTCTTCAGCTTGTTTTTTTCGTTCACTTTTTCTTTGAGTCTCGCTCAATGTTGTGTCGAAATGACAATGCAGGTCGATTTGGTGGGCGGGTACTATGATGCAGGAGACAATGTGAAGTTTGGGTTCCCTATGGCTTTCACTACGACCATGCTTTCATGGAGTGTATTAGAGTTTGGTGGGTTGATGAAAGGTGAGCTGCAGAACGCTAGGGAAGCCATTCGTTGGGCAACTGATTACCTCCTCAAAGCTACAGCCCATCCAGACACCATCTATGTTCAGGTTTTTTGCTGTCGTGAATCTCTCTGCATTCTTCATCAGTTTTAAGCACATTGTCGGAAGATACCAAAAATAGGCACATACCCACATGATTAGGAAAAATTAGCAGAAGAAATCAAAATGAGATGTTTGGGGTTTGATTTTCAGGTTGGTGATGCTAACAAGGACCATGCTTGTTGGGAAAGACCAGAAGATATGGATACTCCAAGGAGTGTTTACAAGGTAGACAAGAATTCCCCTGGTTCTGATGTTGCTGCGGAAACTGCAGCTGCCCTTGCAGCTGCTTCTTTGGTGTTTAGAAGGTGTGACCCCACATATGCCAAGCTTTTGGTCAGGAGAGCTATCAGGGTAATTATCTCTAGTTAAGCTAAATGGGACAAATTTCAGTAAAAAAAAATTGATGTTCATGAAATGTGGGTATAATTTGCTTCCTTGTCTAGGTGTTCCAATTTGCAGATAAGTACAGAGGAGCCTACAGCAATGGGCTGAAGAGATATGTTTGCCCTTTCTATTGCTCCTATTCTGGATATGAGGTAAGTTTGTGCATTTTGAACTCTTCATTACATGTCCCTTTTTTTAATATATAGGAGAGGGGTTCATAATACTTAAATCTCCTCCCGGGTGTCTAAAAATGGCAGGATGAGCTGTTGTGGGGTGCTGCTTGGCTGCATAAGGCGACCAAGAACCCAACTTATCTCAATTATATTCAAGTTAACGGGCAGACCCTTGGAGCTGCACAGTATGACAATACTTTTGGTTGGGATAACAAGCATGTTGGAGCAAGAATTCTTCTTTCCAAGGTTCCCCGTCCTCGTTTTCAGTTCTTTGTTTGTCAAATACTCTATTTATCGTTGTGGTGATTTAATTATAAATTGAAATGATCAATATTGTCCTTGAACCTCAGGCATTTCTTGTTCAGAAAGTGCAATCCCTCCGTGACTACAAAGGTCATGCAGATAATTTTATCTGTTCTCTCATACCTGGGGCCCCTTTTTCTTCAGCCCGATATACTCCAGGTGTCCCCACAGTTCTTTCTTTGATATCCACCTCCCCAAATGTGGTACCATTTTCCTAAACGGCTAGTTCTGGTTTTTTCCTTGCTTGATAATCAGGTGGGCTGCTGTTCATAATGAGTGATAGCAACATGCAGTATGTGACCTCCACTTCATTCTTGCTCTTAACCTATGCCAAGTACTTGACCTCTGCTCGCAAGGTTGTAAACTGTGGTGGAACCGCTGTCACTCCAAAGAGGCTACGAACCATTGCGAAGAAACAGGTACGTCAAATGGGACACATGTAACCATAGAGACCATCCTCAATGATATCTTGATCTCTCATTAAGGTAATTATTTATTTTGTTAAGAATATTTATAACTCTTACCTTTTGTCATCAGGTGGACTATCTGCTAGGAGACAACCCATTGAAAATGTCCTACATGGTGGGGTATGGTCCAAGGTATCCACAAAGGATTCACCACAGGGGCTCATCTCTACCGTCCATCGCTACACACCCAGCAAAGATCCAATGCTCCTCAGGCTTCAGTGTAATGAATTCTCAATCCCCCAACCCTAACATTCATGTGGGTGCAATAGTTGGAGGGCCAGACGAACATGATAGATTCCCAGATGAAAGATCAGACTACGAACAATCTGAGCCAGCTACTTACATGAACGCACCCCTGGTTGGAGCATTGGCCTATCTTGCTCACTCATTTGGCCAGCTCTAAGGCCTAGCAGCATCTCCAACTTGTTAGATTTAGGTGTCAATGTTTCTCGTTTTTAGTTTTTAGTGGGTTGTTTTTATGCATCCTAAAATACTTGTGTAGATGTGAACGTGGTCAAAGGGGTCAAGAGACCTAAGGCTCGAGCCCCAAACCTTGAAGCATATTGGTCAACAAGCATAGATAACCTTAATGTTTATTAATACTCATCATTAAATTAGCTTCAGCCTATGGTGTCGAGTGGAATTGCCGTGCCCAGAACGGTGTTTATGGGTATTGTAAAGGCCAAATATGGCCCCTAATAGGATAGCCGTTGGGTTTGTTTTTCAGTATGTTAGTCCCTTTTGGAACTTGTATTATGTCCACTAGCGTTTTAACTTGCAAGAATTTTACTTCTCTCTCTCTCTTTGAACTTTTTCTTTTTGTTCATGACTCAAGAATTCAGCGAAACAAACAACTGCATTAAAAGTCTAGGGAAAAGAATGAGAGAACAAAGGGTGGCCGGAGTTGGACCACCAACAAACAGAGTATTAAAAACCTTATGGGATGGGATGTCTTGTACCCGAAACTAACAACTAACTCGCAAAAAAGCTGGAGAGGACAGCAAAAAGAAATTAACAATGTCAGTGGACAATGTTCCAAATGAATATTTTTACCGTTGATGGGGGTTACGCGAGTAATTGACCGTTGAAAAGAAACGAGGGAAGGAAAGGATATCAAGAAAGAAATTTTGTAGGAACACGTGATAGGTTAGGGGTTCTTGCGGTCAAAAAAGCTGTCCGTGTTGCAGACTTGTCAGATGGTGTCATGGATTCCTACGCTAAAAGAGACTCGGTATTTTTCTATTGCCAAGGCAATGATAGACCCATGGCTATGATCTGGGACCAAAACACATTCTTCCGCTCTTCAAGGACGTTCAAGGTAATTGAAGTTACCAACTTATTTAAGAAGATTAAACTGTAAATTCCCAACGATTCTTGTAAATTCACTACAAGAGCATAGGATTTCAAATGCAGATGAGTGTAGGGCAACCAACCATAAGAGCAAGCTGCCCATCCATCTACTAAGGTCTCACTCCACCTGGGCCATCATCTGATTACCACTAGGAAGAAAAATTAGGACCTTGGAGATCCTAAATCTAATGGCTTGCAGGGACAAGGGTCGTCAAAATGTTATGAATGCTGCCTTATATCCAAAAGGCGAACACTACTGGAACATGAATCCATCAACATATAGTAAACCAAGAAGAATCGATATTTCAGCTGTTTCAGACTATAGACAGAACACATATATCCTCCCAAGTGGTTAGTTAATCCTATGATTCCTATCCAGAGGTTATTTAGCACGCCAATCCTATTAGTTGTCCATTTAACGCCAGATAAAAGTGCAAAACTTTGGCCTTTATACCAAATAATTGCTGGCACATGATAAATTGGGCCTTGTTACGTTTCATTTTGAGAGTACACAGGTGATCTAGCTGTGCCTAATCCAAGGAAATTCGTGCAATATAGAAGAATTGCTGGAAAATATACCTACTGGCACTCGCCAAAATGCAACTCTCCGAGAGTCAATTTATTCACAAAACCATGGATACACAAGTTTTCTTGATACATTAACCAACATAAGATAGCTGCATAGATCATTCTGGGCGATAGAACTTTCTACATGCCACCCACATAATTTTTATTTATTTACCACAATTACCGTGTGACAGTGCTACATTTGGTTCATGCGCTTCTTAGTTCCTTGGGAAGCAATAGCTTAATGTCGGTCCTCTATTGACAAAGGTACAGTTTTCACCTGAGACAGAAAAAGAGCAAGAACATGATATTCTAAATGCTTGAGTTAGCACTTGGATAGAACACAGAACTATTTATTCCAGAATTCCATCGAACATGACACAACTTTATCAATGACATCTGGTTAACACTTTGAAAATAAATAGACATCAACACTTCGTTCATATGAATTCTGAGAACTTTAAACTATCCAAGATTGCATTTGGAGATCCAGGGCCACAGTTATGTGACCATGTTTCTACTGCAATGATCAAGGTAAACTAGCTAGATTGGCAATTACGTCATCTTAATAATTATTTAAAAATGGGTTATGCACTCACCAAATGACGGTACTTGAGAATGTAGAACATCTCAAGATATCTTCGGGTCTCGCGCCTCTCAAGTTTGGAAACGTACTTCCAAAAACCATATACCCCAGCCAATGTCATTAGCCTTTCAGAGTATATCTTCCATGTATATCTACAGTATCAGAAGATCTAAGTGAGCCTCAGAAAGCATAATCTCAATGGTGTCAAGACATTTGCCGTTTGAGATACCAACCTTTCATAAATCCGTTGAAGCCCAGCATCAGATATTTTTTTCCAGTAGCTTGGATCCTCCTTACACTTTTCAAAGAAATCTGCCATAAGTGCAGCAGCCTGATCAGGATAATATGGATCAATATGGAATCCTGATACACCATGTTCAATAATCTCTGCAGGACCACCATGGCAAGTGGCAAACGTTGGAAGGCCGCAAGTCATGGCCTCCACAACAGTGAGTCCAAAGGCTTCATAAAAAGCAGGCTGCAATAGAGACAGCAGGAAGAAGGGGCTGTAAATTAATTGTGGTTCCTGAGAAAATCTTTGATGTGATGAGAAATCACAGTAACATGTTCTACCTGCACAAAGGCTCCTTTGGTGTCTGCTATGTAGCGATAGAGCTCACCATTACGTGCTCGATTTGTTTGAGCTGTTATCCAGCGAAATTGTCCATCTAACTTGTATTTCTTCATTAGTTCATGCATCTTCTCAATCTCCTCAATTTCTTCCCTGTCTTTGGACTTCTTAACATCAATGTAACCAGCCACCACGACAAGGTTCACCAGGCCCCTTAGTTTGGCATTCTTACCATAGCACTCTACCAATCCTGTCATGTTCTTGACCTGGTCCAGCCTTGCCATGGAAAATATTATGGGCTTTGACTTGTCGGTCAGTGTACCACTGCAATAACATAAATGAACAATCAGATTCATGAACAAGCAAGCCTGATCCTGATCTTCATATCATATACTAGAAAATTATTCTTGTAGGGCAACACAGGAAGCTACTCACATCCACTCATCAGTCGGCTCAGGATCATATAACATCTTTTCTATTGAACCATGTAGGGCTGTAAGTCTTTTCTGCTGGTCGGAGTATGGGAAGTAGATGGCCATATCGGCCCCAGGAGAAACAATATTGAACTTTGGATCAAATACATCGATGCCATGAACAACCCGATATAGCCCTGGAAGAGTGAAAGCAGTGTGGCTCTCATACTGTCCAACAGTAGTCTTCCTGAAGCGACAAGAATACAAGTGAAGCGGTTGTTTGACAAGAATCACTTATGCATCTGAGCGAAATGATGAAGTTGCATGAGCAATTTCAGCAAGTGTAATTTCCAAAATATATCCTTTAAGTAACAGAGTAGAAGCATAAACCACCACAGTGGTCATAAGTTTAGGACTCCACAAGTGGTGGCGTCTCCTAAACAGTAAGAAAATATCAAAATAGAAACCTACTTTTCTTTCATCAGAAGGCCAAATGAGAAATTTAACAAATAACTGCAAGTGACCTACTTTTCTCATCCTGTTTTGCTTTTTCCATGTACTTTTAAATACTTCAATTATGACCGCTATGCGGAAAAAACCTAAAATTAAGTCCTCAAACACTCATTTAAAAGAGAAGAAGGCGTGCATACAGCAAAATAAATAACAAAGTCCCTACTATGATCCATATTTCCTAAGGATATCCCCGCATGCCAAAAGGTAATGTTCTGATTCCATTGTCCAAATAAAGAGGACAAGAAATATGTTCCCACATCTGCATCCCTTTTGCAGCAACCCAAGAACGAGGGGTACACAAGGAGGAAACCCCCTACTTCCTCTACGAATAACCTGTCCCCTTCAGGTATTCAACCGCAAAGTGAAGTTTGTAATTTTGATTACAACATTATCATGTTAAATTTGGACGCTTGAAGAACCAGCTGAACCTCAAGCACAAAGAAGTGGAGCAAAACATAAAATTCATATCTACAAGAAGAGGACAATCTCATGGCTGTTATCTACCACAACCAATTCATCCGAAAACTTCTGTGAAATAAAATATCCTTCATACTCACCAATTTATTCTGTGGATAAAGTTACCTATAGCACTACAAGGTTCTTCAAATTTTCAGGTCTCAAAGCAAGACTTGGAAGACTCAAAACCTCGATCAGTCCAATGAGTTTACATAACCAAGTTGATAATGAATCCATAATCATCATATCTTATTGCATAAACAATTATGAACCAACAAATGTAAGTCAAGGGAATAAAGGGTAACACTTACGTTCCTGCAATCTCTTGATAAGTACTTGTGATGATAAAATCGGCGTTGTTCATGGCTAATACATCAGCAGTGAATTGACATGAGAAGTGATATTTATCATCAAATTTTTTCCAATAAATATCTGAATCTGGATACTTTGTTTTCTCCAAGGCATGGGCAATAGTGCACTGCGTATTTCAAAACTTAAAACATGTAAACACTCCTTTCAGTAGATAATCAGTGGGACCTTAAATTTCATATTTACAGATACCAAAGAGTCATAGCAAACCTGTGTAACACCCATCTTGTGAGCCAACAAGGATGCAACGAGGTTCCCATCACTGTAGTTGCCAATAATAAAATCAGGGATGCCCTGTAACTCAGCTACCATTTCACTGGCTGCATCCTGATTATAAAGGTTTAACCAAAAAGGCTTGAGAGAGCCACACGAATGAATAAATGAAAAATAATTTAAAACTTTATGCTTAGGCTAGATGTACATTGAGGAGGAAAGGGAGGTGGTGATGTTAACATGAAGAAGCAATGAATTGACAGCTGCATCAGTGCGATGATAGCACAAACTTAAAGCATCAGATGATAAAAGTGAAAATTTTGACACACGATGCTCATTACTTGTATGTGGATACCATGAATCTATGATTAAGTTAAAAAAAAAAGTGATTACAATGATATCATGATTGATTAAAAAATTTGAGCTATGAAACTGCGGTACTTTCACTTTCATAATGATGTAGGATAACTGTGTTCTACCTCAGCAAATGTCTCCAAATATGGCCATACATCAAACCTTGAGATCCATTTACGGAGAATTCCATGCTCTGATCTAAATGGTACTCGCAGAATATGCGTATGTTCTGTTCCACTGACCCTTTCCAGACGCTGGTTGCAGGTAGTCCCTTTTGAATCAGGTATTAACCTGGTCACCTTTGAGAATCAATGGAAAATGTATTACAGAGAGAGGGTCAATCAACAGCTATCAAAGTGACCTAGTTTGAAGAAACTGACCCAATATAAGCATGAAATCACTTACAATTAGAATCTTAGGCTGAATGTCCAACCCCTGTTTCTGTATTCTAAGAAGCATTTCATTCTCTAGTGCACGAACTTGGTCCAGGATATACACAACCTAGAAGTACATTTGGAGCCAACTGTCTTAATAAAGAATGATGTTCCCCAGTATTGTAACAGTTACAATAAAAAATAACCATGTAGCATAAACAAGGATGAGTTCTGCACTCTGCAGAGATGTAAAAAAGGAAAACATTGAAGTCTTCTGCAAGGGTGGAAAGGCATGATATCCATGTTTGTAGTGTTCTATTTCTTACTTTGTAGCGTCCTATTTCTTACCTTATTTATCATTATTGTTATTATCTTATTTATTTTTTTCCCTGAAGGAAAGCCATACGCACCTGCCCACCAGTGTCAGGCAAACCTAAAACATTTGCTTGCCCAAAGTATCCATGTGGAGAAAAAATGACTACATTGAATACCATTGGTATTCTCCCAAGGAATGTCTCTAAAGTTGAGGGATCAGGAGCTTGGAGTATGTCCAAGAGAAGATGCATCATCTCCACTACCCGAGCTGCAGTATCACCCCACCCTTTCTCAAAACCCATTCCCTGTAATCTGAAGCAGAGTGAAACAGGAAAAAAGGAACTCTCAGGCGCATAGAAAGAATGTTGAACAAATGAATTTCAGTATTAACTTGCATCCAATGATTAAAAAGATATAAAACACTTACGCATATTCAAATTCAGAAAACGGTGTATTAGATGGGAGCTTTGAAATATACTCTTCTGCCTTAATAAGAGCAGACTGAAGCCGGGATATGTTTTTTATCCGATCATTCAACATTAAGGCCTGCAAATAATCCTTAGTTCAATCATTTGGCTCCACTGAATCCTCATACCAAGAATTATTCCAATCATCCGTCTTCCACATGTTTTAAACCCAAGCCAAGTGAATACCAAAATAAAAAATGCTGAATCTGTGATAACAATCAAGAAATAGATGGATGATAAATGCTATAATCTAGAATGGTTATAAGGGATAGGCACTCTTAAGTGGAGGCCCTTCCACAGCATACTTACATGCCCTTTGTATGTGTGGGCTCGAAGGAAATCAAGTAATGGTTCCAAAGTGTCTTTATTACGAAACATATTCGAAGAAAGATGTCGGTTGAGGAATTGGACACCGTTGCCAATGGATGAAGACCGTGTGGGACGAGGAAAAGTGGCATTGAATGGCTCAAAATCAAGCTCAAGCACGTAAGGATCATTAGACCTATTAGTAAAAAAATAAATAAAGAGGGTGATTAGACCTAAAGAAAGGTGTTGAAAAAAAAAATTAAAAACATAAACAATCCTAACCCAATAATTTTTAGTGAGAAGGTGATCCCAAAATAAAGAAGAAGTAATATAGAGTGATGGATAGATGAGATGTTCTGTAGCAATATGATACAAGTAAACCGATAATTTTACCATAAAAGGAAAAGAAAGAGTGCGAATATGCTTACGGGCCATCAACAAGTTCTTCTTTGAAGCGAAGATATTGAGAAACAGTCAATTCCTCCACATTTAGTTGATAGACATCAACACGGACATATTCCCAAACTCCAGGTCTCGGACGAATGGCTATAGCCACAAAAGGAGGCAGAACTATGGCTTCCTATATATCACCACCAATGCATATTTAAAAATATATATATATATATATAATTCATCACAAACTAATAAAAAATTCTCAAACAAAACCTTCCTTTTAAAGGGTTTCCAAAGCAGCTAAGGACGAGCATAAATTATAATAATAAATAAATAAATATAATAAAAGTAAAGAAATGAAAAACGAAAAAGAATATTGACCAGAGCAGTTTTGAGAACTTCACTAAATGGACCATCTTTGAGCTTCTGCCTTGCTTCCTCATCGCACATAATATTGTCCAGTTCATCTATCAGATTATGGGGATGCAAAATTCCTTTTCCCTGATCCACATACCTTCCACAGAAACAATAAAAAAAAGTCAATATTTACTAAATAACACCAATCCATCCATTAAAAGAAAACAGATAGAGAGAGAGAGAGAGAGAGAGAGAGAGATGATATTAGAAACCTGGAGAGGAGAGAGACAAGTTCATTACGGTGAGCAGAGAGAGTGTCCTGCACGCACTCCCTCATGCTGGGAATTCGTTCCAACCTAGGGTTTGCCATGATCGATCAAAGAAGAAGCTAGTACTAGTTAGTTTTCCTTTGCCGCTACTCCAGTCTGGTCTGGGCGATCAGGAGCTAGAAAAAAAAAAAAAAAAAAAGTAGAGGACTGGGGAGAGAGTTTGACCTGGTTACAAGCGAGGAAAAGGAGGCAACTTATAGTGGCTAACGGACAGAGCGACAAGCACAAGACAACATGAAAAATTGGGACCTGTCATTTGCGTTATCCAAAACAAGGGACGAGAATTCTGAATATTCGGTGCTAGCGGTTTTCTTCTTCCTTTTTTTTTGATTTTTTCCTCCCCAAATTGGCCCCTGCTTTACTTCATCGCTGCTATTCCACCATCTGTATATACCCCACGTTGGCCTGTTTGACCGTATCCTTGGGTTAAACCAATTTCACTTCACGGTAATAGAAAAGGCGCACTAGTACCATCATATAGAGCATGGTAGGAATAGCACCATGGGAGACATATTAATGAAAGACTCGTGCCCTTGTTCGTAAAGGGACAAACTTACAATAAAAACAAATTGACGAATATTTGTGCTCAATTTAATAATGATTTGGATGGGAAGTTAATGTTAATCCATCTCTCCACATATATACTCTTTATGGATATTAGTATGAGTATATGGATATTAGTATTGTTCCATTGTCTCATGTTTATTTGACAATTTTTTTGTTATTTTTATTGATCTAAACTTTTTATAAATAAGTTTTAGAGAAATTAAAGTTTATTACTCTTTTTGTTAAATTTTTTTATCAGTCAAAAAATATTTCCTATTGATCTTTGAATGGTACAAAATGTCAATAAAACCGGATCGAAAGGGGTAGTATGTGTCATTTTCGTCTTGATCAAAGAGTAAATTGGTTTCGTATTAAAACACAAAGGATATTGCCGAAGCATTGCATCATATAGGCTCGGATTCCAATTGCAAAGGATTATATATGAATATAATTTGCCTAACTAAAGTAACTTTTCCATCTCTCTTCATTTCTATTCGAGCAAAAACCAAAGGCTGTTTTGCTCAACTATTAACCTTTGGATGCTCTTTTTGGATTTTTATTTGACGTCCCATTTCTTATTCGATATTCCATGTGCTATGATTGTTTTTATTTTTATGGTGAAGGTATCCTGGTATTTAGCGTCACGGGATGGTAATGGCAATTCCAAAACTCTTAAGCTTTGTTAATTCATATCAAATATTGATGATCATAACAGTTCACACCACATTGGCTAATAATTAAAGATTTAAAAAGTTTATAAGTTTTGGATTTCTTTTTTTTTTTCTTTTTTCTTAGAAAACCACTTTTCAAGATGGAACACAATACGGAGTATGAGACTTCATGTGTAAAGAATGACAACCTTGTAAGTTTATTTGAATCATATCATCACTTGTGATTTATGGAATGGGATGGCCATGACAATGCCAGCACTTTGAATATTTTTTATTTAGTCCTTAAATATTAAGGTTGTTTCATGAAAATTCCACACCTGGCCCTTCAATAATAACTTAATTTCACTGTGATTCTTCTTATTTAATAATCTTTAATTAATTAATTTTCAAGTTATCTCCGTGATTTTCAAGTTGGCTCTCATTTTATAAATTTGCTCTTGATCTTAAAATTATTTTTAACATATCAAATTAAATTATTTTCTATTTAGACTCTAAATAAGTTTTTTCCCCATAGATTTTCAAATCTAAATTAGTGCGCTACAAAAAAAAAAAAATCATCGCATCATCCTATATGGTTGTAAAGTGAATGATCTTTTGGGCAAAAAGTTTCGACTTATATTCTTTCTTTCTCTCTCTTTCTTTTTCTTTCTTCGCAGCCCTCCCCTTCTCCCCTTCCATTATTATCTTACTACGAAAAGAATCGTTTGCCTCTCGTACAAAAAAAAAAAAAAAAAAAAATTCGTTTTTAAACCTGGTTCCGTATGTGAATCAGCCATGCCAAACGAGAATGGATTGGTGTTCCGAAGTGAATTGATGGCAGACATAAAACGTCTCTTTCAAAAGAAATCTTAAGTGTTCTCATCTTATCCATACACCCACCTACTTGTCATACTCTTTGACTCGAGCCATTGGTTCTTTTGGGTTAACAAATAACAACGCTACACGTTTCTACACCACTAAAATGAAAAATTTTATAATAATTAAAAAATAACTAATATACATATATAATAATTAATCTATGGACTTACTTAAAAAAAAAAAGACATTAAACAAAAAATCACATTATAATTCAACATAAAGTAATAAAAAATTTTCTATATTGAATTAATTTTTTTAAAAAATTTTCTCTCTTTTATTTGTGTCTATCTTTTCTATAAAGTAACTTATAATAGTTATTCTTTAAGTGTTATAAAATTTCTCAAAACTTATTTAATGTCTTTACTTATTTAAAGAGTTAATTGAATTCCTTTGTATTTATTATAATTTTACCAATCAAATTGTTATTTTTATTTTTTTTAAATTACTAATACATCTTCTATCAATATTTATTATATAATAATTATGATAATTAATGAATGGTGAAGTGGAAGATATATTGATAATTGTTTACAAAAATGATAAAAAAAATAATTTAGTTAGTGAATTTAGTGAATATTTTTTATTCAATCTCAAGTCTCTTTGTAAATTATATAATTTTTTTAAAAAAATAATCACATTCTAAAATTTTATTTAAAAATTCATATATCGAGATCAATAAATCATATTTATCAATAATTAAAATCTAAATGAAATTAAAAATTAAAATTACAATCAATTAGATGATAATCTCTATAAGAAATGATAAATTTTAAAAATAAATTTTAAATAATAAAAGTAATATCATTTAAAATATATTTATCAAGAATGTTGGTTTTGTAATGAGTTACTTATGCAACGTTGTAGATAGAATAGAATAAAATATTCTAATTTCATAGTTTACGATATATTGCGAATCTATTAAAATATATTGAATCAAAAACTTAAAAAAAAATTTAACAAAATTTTGTATTTAAATAAGTCTTTCTTATGTTTTATAAAAATTTTATACTTAAAAATACATTATTTATTTTTTTTATGAATTGATTCTTAAATAAAAATTGTAATAATCTAAATTGAAATTTTAATTCAAAATTCAAGAAATTGCATTAAAATATATGAACTTGTACGGAAATTAATAGACGATTTAAAAAAATAAAAATAAAATAAATTAAACTACATGAATATTTTAAATGTATTTTTAAAATTTTTGAAAAATATCTTTGATATAAATAAATTAAATGAAATAAAAAAAAACCGGGCGCAGGCCTGGAGGACTGGGCCCTCGCCCAGAATCAACAGAAAATTTTTTTTTTTTTGAAACATTAGGGACCAAAAATAAATTGTTTGGCGATCCAGAGTATCGGTGGGTTTATTTGAACAGTGTAAATGGGTGTGAGTGTACAGTACGTGCACAGTGAAACCCCATTTCTTTTAATGTTTTAGTCAGCTAATATCTTCATTCTTTGAACAAGCTTCGGGTTTCAAGGACTGAACTACATACACATGGGCTATAAGACCAAATGGAGGCCCATGCGGCTATGTTCCATGAATGACGTTTATATTGTAGTCCAAATCTAATCCAAAAGCATGCTTGTCCCTCTCTTGACTAAAACTACCATTGCACAGATCCTCCGCTTTGGCACAGTGGATCTACTGCCGTACTCACACCGAGCATGTCTTGGGTTCGAACCCTGGTGAGGGGTTGAAGTGTCTAGACGCAAGTTTGTTGAATAAATAATAGATTACTTACCATTTAGGGCCTTAGGCCGCTGCTATTGTAGTTTTGTAGTTTTCGAGCCTAGGGCCCAATTTCATTTTCAACTAACTACAGAAGATGGGCTCGGGTTAAGTTTGAAAAATTGTTGACAAAAAATAAAATTAATGCTGATGGACAGGGCATTGAAAAAATTTTATTTCATAATTTATACATAGAAAAAATAAATAATATTTGGTAAAAATGAATTTATGAGGCGAAGAAGAAAAATTTTAGGTGAGATTTTGTTTACATGATTATTTGAAAAATCCAAAAAGTTATCATCTTTTTTCCTCATAATTTTAGCACAAAATTGAATAATAAAATAGTTAAAATTAAATTAGAAAAAAAGTATACATATATATAACAATCTGGACAAGCGACCTTAGGTGAGACAGGGCATTGAAAAAATTTTATTTCATAATTTATACATAGAAAAAATAAATAATATTTGGTAAAAATGAATTTATGAGGTGAAGAAGAAAAAATTTTAGGTGACATTTTGTTTACAAGATTATTTGAAAAATCCAAAAAGTTATCATCTTTTTTCCTCATAATTTTAGCACAAAATTGAATAATAAAATAGTTAAAAATTAATTAGAAAAAAAGTATACATATATATAATAATCTAGACAAGCGACCTTGGACATGTAGAACCAAACCGAGAAATTTTATAATACATAAAGAGTATATATATAATAATTATTTCATGAGTTCGCTTTGATGAGAGAGATAGACATATATATATATAAAAAAAAGAATTACGTCTCGACCCATCAAATAGGAGAGAGAAAATTAATAAAAAATTTAGCAAACATGAAAATCTTTTTATCACTTTTGATAGGTCCAAATGTAATTTTTTTTTATGTGTCTATTTCTCTTTTAAAAATGAGCTCATAGAGTAACTACTTTACTTATATAGTAATTACTTATGGTATATTATAAAATTTCTCGAACCAAACCCATGCATGCTCCATTCCTTTTTTTTAATTTTATATACATATTGATAGTCACAAACCAATCACTTTGTTCGTTTCTATATATATATATATATATATATATATATATATATATATATATAACAACTTTCCATAACAAAATTTTGAATTTTACCATTATTTTAACCTCAAAATCACAAAAAAGACCTCAAGAAATTCATTTGGAACCATAAAACTCATTTCAATGCACTTAAAAAATAAAAAAATTTAAATTAAATTCAAAAAATTAAAATATATCTTGGGATTTTGATTTTTTTTCTTCAAACATCTTATGGCTTGTGGCTACTAATAAAGTATTTTTTCAAATGTAGATTCTTAAATACCTCTAAAAAAGTCTTAAAATAAAAAAATACCTCCATAAAGAGTACATGGAATAGTGCAAACAAATTTTGTTTGAACTCTAAAAGTAAATAATATTTGTGTATGGGTGAATAATATTTTATGAGAGAGGAGTTATTGTTCATGTGAACAATAAACACCCAAAATTTTTAGTTTTATTATTAATAAAAAAACAACGATTCAAACACGTACTGACAGATGTATAAGTACATATTTGCAGCATCACATGAAGTAGAAGCCGAAAGCAAATTGGATTAATGCATATCTCTTACATTTTCCAACGATATGGGGAAAAAATGGAAGAGAATCCTATTGGAAGTAATTTTGATGTCAACAATAATGTAAAAGTGAGTTTCTCAAAAAGTCAGTAAATTTTTCAAAAAATCAGTTTTAATTATTTTAGTTACATGAATGTAATATATTAATGATTTGAGTTTTTAGAGATATCCTAAACTACTATAATATATGTCTAGTTAGAGTTATAATTTAAGTCCAAGTCAAGAAATTTTCTCAAGTACAGGAGTAATATGATACAATATCAATATGAGATTCCATCATACTTCCCTCTGTTCTTCTTTCCTTATATTTTCTAACATGGTATCAAAGCTAGATTCGGTCTAATGGAGCGTTGATAGGTGATTCAAAGGAGTATAGCATATGCTTAGAAAGAAAGGAGAAATTCCAAAAGTAAACAGCTGCAGACCCAAAGGAGAATGAATGGAGAATAACATCCAAGCATAAAAAATGGCAGAAAATAGCTAAGGAGCCGTTATGAAGAAGAAGACAGCAGCATGATAAAGAGTGAGACAAAATAAAATGGCCACTTGAAGAGCCACATCTTAAAAGAGATGTATGGGCTAAAGAAATGTCGCAGCAGCCACACGAGGAGACAAATGGTTAAGAATAACCATGTTCTAAAAATGCAAAAATAACGAATTTTGCAAACATCACCAATACATTTCAAATTTCAAGACAAGAAAAAATGGCTAAGAAGAGCCAGGATACAAGATGAAGATGCAAAAATAATAAATTTCGCAAGCATTACTAGCACATTTGAAATCTGTGGGACCTTTAAAATTAAAGAACGGTGTTGCAAATAGTTTGGAAATCTACAATAATGTAAAATTGAGTTTTTTGAAGAGCCAATGAGTTTGTCAAAAAAATCAGTTTTAATTATTCTAGGTATATGAACGTAATATATTAATGATATAAGTTTCTAGAATAATCTTAAACTACTATATATATATATATATGTATAGTAAGAATTGTAATTTAAGTTCAAATCAAGAGATTTCCTCTCATGCGATAGTAATATGACATTCCACCATGCTTCCTATGTTTTTCTCTCTTATATTTTCTAACAAATCCATGTGTTATGATAATGTGAAAGGAGGTGGAACTAATCTTATGCTGTAAAATGATAGTAAATTATAAGTTCGGAATTTTAGTTTTTAGAAACAAATTAATTACAAAAACTGATTATTTAGCCTTTATATTTTTAAAATTTTATTTTAATATAATTCCTTTTGTTTTTTTAATGTATTTTGATTTTTAATTTTAAAAGAATAGAAAAAGAAAAAAATAAATAAACAATAAGGAAGGATTGATGAAAAAAATGATATATATTTTTTAAATAAAATAATATTAAATTAAACATGATCACTATTCATAAAAAAGTAAATAATTAATTTTTTTAAACAAGAAGGATTGATTAATTCATTTCTCAAAAATAAAAAAGGAATGATTTATAATTTATTGCATAAAAGGGTTATGCTGCAGAGACGTTGCGACCAGAAGCACAAGTTACTTGACAGGTTCGTCGACTCCCAGAAAAGTAAGAGGAAGACTGCATAAAATGGCTCCTCCAAACAAGCTTGCAGAGATTGGAATCGAAGCCTTCAAATTGCTGGAGGAGAACATATATAGGTCAGTTCCAAAGGCTATGATGCCTTTTCATTCAACATACCAACAACAGCTTTCGAGTCCACTGGTTCACTGTTATACAAGGGAAACTGTTGACTGCAACAACACAGCCCAGGAGTACAACGGTGTGGTATGTAATTGCAGAATATTTTGCTAAGAAACCTACCCCAGTAGCTGCACCAGCTCCTCGTAATTATTTTTATTAGGCTTTGTGTATGTTCATGACCATAAGATAATCGTATGTAATTGGTTGCTATACCTAAGTCTTTATGTAAATCAAAATTCCTTTTTATTTTGAGGGTTTGTAAGGAGGCTCGAACGTTCTGAGGAATGAGGATAACTAAAATATCATGCGTGCCAAAATTGAGCTCTGGCTCTTTGGCTTAAAACACTAGATAAATGAATTACTATGATGGGATCGATCTTCTTCTTGGTTTTTCCATTTTTAGCGTGACAGCTTTCTTGCTTACATCCGAGTGGGAGAGAAGCTTTCTTGTGTTAGATATGAAGCCCAAAACAATGGCCACGAAAGCTGTCATCTGCTTTTAAGATAAAGTGACAGATTTTGCAATTCTAACTCCTTTGCACCCAGATTGCTATAATTGTAGTTTTTCAAATCCAGAATAGTATAGGCTTTTTTTATTATTTATTATTTATTATTTTTGTATTTATTACAATCGATAAGTTTAGATTGAAAGTAAGCAAGAAAATAGCTGGAAAAAAGTATAATTAAGGTTATAAAAATTAGATAAATTCCTATTGTCTATTAATATTATACTTAGTCAGGCTATTAGCTACAACATTTCTCGTTCTATTCACTCTAGCAAAAAAAACATATTTTAGCTTATCAACAAAGGAAGTAATACTATTGAAATCACAATCTAATTTTTAAAGCCTGTCATGTGAACTCTTGCAAATCCAACTGATAGCATTTGAAGAATCCGATTCAATAATTCAACCAACTTGTTCTGCTAGAAGATAAGAAACACTCAACTCTAAAGCTCTTTTGATCGCAAGAACTTCTGTTTCATTAGAGTATTTGACACCAGTTGGACTTGAAAACATACATAAGAAACGCCCTTTAATACATGAAGCACCCGATTTCTTCATTGACTAGTCAATAATGTACATTCCATTTTAGAAATCCAAAACCTAGTATCATCCAATCTTCAGCTATTCAATTTTGAATTTTGTTGGGCCAAATTATGAATACCATCCGAGCTACAAAGTAGAGCATTCCTGTGTATACGAAGTAGTTCAGTCAGAATAATATAGGCTATCCACTATATTTTACCAAAGTATACTAAATTCATACTCTATAACCTAAGATATATTGGATTTTCTTTTTCTTTTTCTTTCTATTTTTTTTGCAAGTATCATTTCTGGATTACATTGGTTCAGTAAGGTGAATCCTATTTTTCTTCCTTGTTCAGAACTGGGAAACCAGTGGTTGACCAAAATTTCTATTCCTATGAGCTGGTGTTGAACTATTGGCCATATTTTTAGGCAAAGGAACTGGTCATCCTGAGTCAAGATAGATGGAGTGATATCTTATTTTAATGGCTACAAACACCTGAGATATAGCCGGAAAGGTACAGTCTCGTATTTAACTGAGGGTAAAGTGCTAAATTTGAGATGGTAACAGATTTTATTTTGAAGCTTGGCTAGTAACAGATTTGAGAAGTGCTAAATTTGAGAAGGCATCACTAAAAATAGAGATAGTAACAGATTTTATTTTGTCTATAACAGCTCTTGGCAAGCTGTATAAATTCAAGTGCCTCTGCAAACATTTTGAAATTCAAGAAATAAACCTTTCATTCTGGGTTAAACATCACCATGGCCATTGTAGGAAGCATTCTTGTTTTAGGCCTAGCTTTGCTCTGTTCTGTGGCCGATGGTGCACTTCGCCAGCGCATTGGTCTCAGTCATCACCGTCGTAGCCTCATTGATGGCAGTGGTGGTGCAGTTACAGTTTTTGATGTAACGCAACACGGTGCCAAGGCGGATGATCGGACTGATAATGCAGAAGTGAGTTTGTAAACAATGCAAGTCTTATAGTTGCCTTGCCTTACCCAAATAACAAAACCCAGTTAGAATTTTTCTTTAATAAAATAATTAACTATCCTGAATTTTAATTGCTAAACAGGGTTTGTGCTCTAAAAGCTTCCTAACTCCAATTAACCTTTAACAATGTGTCATGCAGGCATTTATTCAAACGTGGCGGTTAGCATGTGATTCAAGTGTTCCAGCAAAGCTTGTTATCCCCAAAGGGACATTTTTGACGAGCCCTGTCGTATTTCAAGGGCCATGCAATGGCACAGAGCCTCAAATTTTTGAAATACAGGGAACTGTAAAAGCCACAACTGATCTTAGTGAATATAGTTCACCAGAATGGATCTTATTTGAAAGAATTAATGGTTTCACCTTGAACGGTGGGGGAGCTTTTGATGGGCAAGGTAGTGCTGTCTGGAAGTACAACGATTGCCACCGCAACAAGGAATGCCAGCCACTCCCCAGTGTATGTATATAGCACTTACCTCGTAATTATTGACCTGACCACGAGGAGGCATCTATGCGTCCTGGCCTGCACAATAAGAACCTCATTTTTCACATAAACCAACACTTCTATGATCCTGCTACAATAAGATTTAATGAACCTTTGATAACAAGTTAGAGTTCACAACCAATAGAGTTTCAGGATCAATAACACATTTGTTTTCATTCTGAAATAGATCTTTTCCCCATTTGTTAACATAAATATTAGTTCCCAAAGAGTTAATTCACAAAAAATAACTACTACAAGTATAAACTTGAATGATTTTGGAATTTCTTTCCATGTTGCAGTCCATCAAGATGAGCAAAGTAAAAAATTCCGTTGTTCATGACATCAGCTCGGTCAACAGCAAATATTTCCACATGCACGTTACGGACTGCAACAACATTTCGATCCACAATATTAATTTGACTGCTCCTGGTGATAGCCCGAACACAGATGGCATTCATATAAGCAACTCTGATGGTGTCAACGTAACAAGCAGCCTAATTGGGACAGGTGATGACTGTGTTTCCGTCGGACAAGGGTCCACGAATCTTTTTCTCTCTCAAATCTTTTGTGGCCCAGGACATGGCATTAGGTAACTTCCTTAACGATTTCTTTTCCCCAGCAATTCACGATCATTCATGAAGTTCCAAATATAAATATACTTGGTTATTTACTTCTTCTCTGTCTTTGGATTGGTCTTACGCCAGTGTTGGAAGCCTTGGCAAGTACAAAGACGAGGAGGATGTGAGCGGAATTGTTGTGACTAACTGCACGTTGTTTAACACCACCAATGGCGTGAGAATCAAATCATATGCTGCATCTCAACCTAGCCAAGCTTCAAATATCATTTTTCAAGATATTATCATGGATAATGTGAAAAATCCCATTATCATTGATCAGAATTATGGTTCCCGTAACAGTAAGGTAATTCACAGACAAAAACCTCTGCATGCATATTATTATATATCATGATATCTATATATGTAACATCAGTATAGTTAATATATTGTATGTAAATTAATTAAATTTTTTTTTAGCTTCAATATTGATTGTAAAGCTTGTTCACATGTTGTGCAGCCATCACAAGTGAAAATTAGCGACGTTCATTACAAGAATATAAAAGGCACCTCGACTTCCGCTGTTGCTGTCAATTTTTTGTGCAGCTCATTAGTTCCTTGTGAAGGACTGGAACTTGTGGACATAGATTTGGCCTACGTCGGCGCCAAAGCAAACATGCCCCTGTCGTCTTCATGTTTGAATGCACATTTTACATCCGGTGGCAAACAGAACCCACCAAGATGTCCTTAAATATTTTCTAATTCAAAATTTAGTTTTTATAGATGTTCAGTTTACGTTAATTCTTTTTTTATATGATGTCACGTAAATTGTTTATTTTTTATTTTTTATATATTCTGAACTCATCTTTAAATAATTTCTTGTTGGTTCTTTTCATTTTAATACATTGATTAATGACTTTCATAAAGGAAAAAAAATAGTAGTTTCGCTGTGATAATTAAAGAGATAGATGTACTTATTTATCTATTTTTCCTAAGCTTAATTACTGCCACCACTAGATGCATGTGATTTGAGCAAGCACTTCAATTTTTTCTTTTTAGTTATACTCTTGATTTGGTCGTTTTTAGTCCGGTCAAACAAGTGATCCTCGTGCCAATGAGGTACGTATGGGGTTATACGTAGCTCAACTAACAACTCATATTTATCTCTTTTTAAAAAGAATTTGAGTTGATCAAACATCTTTTTTATAATAATAAAAAAAGTAATCCTAAAATATTAGACTAGAAATCAATCGGATTTTTTTTTTAATTATCTTTACCCCGGTTAATTACATTTTGTCTTCATCTTTTGTGGAAAAGAAAGGAATGAGAAATTACATTCGTGATCAACCGGGACATGCATGTATTACATGAATGATAATTGTTGGGCGTAAGGGTTCCGTTAAAAGAGCTCGTTCTAATATGCGAATAGCTAGGCTCGTCCACTACTGGAATTAAGAGTTAGTTTGACATGATTTAGACTTATAAGAAGGTTAAATCAATATTCGCTTTTCCCTATATATATTTACTCGTCAATGTGGAGGTGGCAAGATTTGTCGACGATACGACACATGGTATTGATCAAGAACCACTGGCCAAAAGGGATAAAACGCCACTTAGATTTGACTTTCACAAAGAAAATAAATATACCATTTTCAATAGGCACGGAAAATATCGATAGATGCTCTCTGTAGACAATGGCATATTCTGGCATACTCTCACTTTATATAGCAGCCAAAAGAAGAGGAAGATCGAGCAGTTGGTTGGTTGCGGTTCTATATAATTAAGGTAGCTAGAATCTTCTTATTTTATCCCTTTAATTGATTCTCAAAATGCAGTCACATAGGGACCTTCTTTCGTTGAATTCACTACTTGTTTTGTAGAAACATAATCTAAGCACGATAGCTAGGCACCCACTCAGGCTAATATTGATCAGCTAATTATAAACTAATTCACTACTTTTTACTAATCTATTCCTTTTAGCTTATCTGAATCTCTGCATTTTGCAACATCTTAATTAGACAGGGTCCTTAACAGCACTGCTCAAAAGAAAAAAGAATCCTTGATAACAATGACTGAAGATCCATTGTATAAGACCAATAACTGTACTCCCACTTAATTATGTTTTTAACTAATTTTCTCCAAATCCTAACTTCTGCAAGAATCTTCTTATTCTGTGTAACTGTGGTGCTTAAGTGTTAGCATCATTTTTTTTTTAATTGATAGTGTGAGGTGCTTAATATTGAGTTCACGCTAGGCACAGGAAATCTCGTGATCTCTCATTTTACGATCCTATCTTACCTAATCACTAACGCCATAATTCTCCAAGCACGACTAGTCCTTCCAGGCTATATGCAGTCGTGTTTATTAGTTAGCGAGTTCCTAATGGAGCCTGCATTTTGCGCACATTCTTTTTCCTATGCCATTAGCTTTGGCTTTTTTTTTTTCCTCTAAAGAAAAAGCGTTGGCACTTATGAGTAGTGCTCTTGCCATTTCACTTTGATAATGATGAGCTTGGACAATCTATACTATTTAATTTAATTTTTTTCCCTTCAAAAAGGGATAAAAAAAAAACAAGTTGTCCCTTCAATTTCACTTCATCAAATTGCAACATTTTCAGCACCACTAAAATTACACCATAAATCTGCTTACTGGATCTAATATAGTCAGTCGTCACAGCAGTTCCCTTTGAAAAGTTTCAGCATACTAATCACCTTCCTGTATTCATTTGCGGGCGGCGCCTCTCAAGCAACCCACCCACCCAATTATTTTAAAAAGTATCTGTACAGACCTGAAAACAAAAAAGAGGAAAACATGGGGGGGGGTGGGGAGGAGGACAGAGAGAGAGAGAGAGAGAGAGAGTGAGTGTGGGTGTGATCTACCCCATCCCCTGACGTGTCTTTTGACTTAAATACAGGAAAACTAGCTATTTCAACAGAAAGCATAAATATGAAGACATTTGTCAAAAGTATTGACCAACCTTTTCCTTGCTCTATGAACTAAATCCACTGTGTACTGGATAAACAATCAACTTGATATTTGTAACTAGTTAATGTAAATTAAGCTAATGAAGGTCGTTAAGCAAACAAACAAGGAGTAATTATATGTTTAATCACGCCCGCAACATGACAATAAACACCTAAGCTTGGAAAATCAAATATCAATTGACTACTCCATTTAATATGTTTTTCTATTTTCACATAAACAAGGAGATTTATTTATAAGAAATGAAATTTGATGCGAAAGTGTATTTTAATTATGAAAAAACGTTTACCGCGTTAATTTTTATTTTGCTGCCCCGTCCTTTAAAATTAAAATCCAGAAGACCCAAAAAAGAAAAGAAAAAAAATAATAAAAAAAAATTCCACCTAGAAATTACCAAGAAAAATTTAGATTTGCATAAACATAAAAGAGAAATATCTTATATAAAACGGCATTTATTTTATGTGGCCTTCACTTGGCTAAACTAAACAACTGTCTCCGTCTGTCTCTCTCTTTCTCTCTCTAGATTATCTCTTCACGTCCTTCCTTCAAAATCCATCGCTAATTTTTATTTTCTTGTCCAAAATTCAGAACTTCCACATTTACAAACACCACCGTAACGCTTACCAGATTCTCTTGGCGTAACAAGATAAGAGAAATAGAAATTTATAACAAAAAGATTCCTACCGCAATTAAATTAAACGACAGCGCTCTCTGCCTCTCTCTCTGTGTGGTAAATTCGAATCAATTGACGCGTCGAGCATGTTTGCGTGTAAATGCTTAGAACATTTAATCCAATGAGATTGGTGCTTCGCTCCGATGCTTCGCTGTAGAAATGGCTTCTGCTTCTTCGTTGTCAGGTTTTTTTTTTGTCCTCTCTCTTTTAGCACTGTGTTTTGATTTCTCTATTGAATTTCTTCTCAACTTAGCAGCTCAGCTCAATTCAAGTATTTTAATTTCTTTTTTTTTTTATTTAGAAGAATTCTGTCTTCGCTTGATTTAGGACTACCGGTATTTATTTATTCTTATAAAATTGTGTGGTTGATAATTTTGCAGTATCAGTGGAATGCGTGAATATATGTAAGTTATTATCGAAGGGGGATGGAAGCGGGAGATATGAGTGTAGTGTGCTTTCTTGTGCGTGGAAAGCTCCTAGAGTCTTGACAGGGTTTCTGGCCAGCACTGCTCATCCAGCCCCACAGTGTTCATCATTCTTGTCTGCCCGGAATAGGAGAAGGAATCAGTTTAAGTCTGTAAGTTCCGTCCTTCGCTTGCCTGCTAAAATTGTTTTGAATTAATTGCTAACTTAGCCTTTTTATCCACTATGCTTCCCCATAGTTTTTTTTTTTGGAAGTTTGGGGATGAATGGAAAGATATGCCTACAGCCTTGCGATTGCGAAGGAAACCAAAAGAAGATACACAGTTCGTTTATTGTATTTTGATGCTTAGGAGGCAAACGAAAATGATCGGGATCTTTCATTTTGGTAGTCAGTGAAAAAATGAAAGCAAAAGGAAATTTGTAAACCATCAAAGTAAATAAAAGATTAAGTAGTTATAGTTTACTCTGAATCTGAAATATAACTACTTATTTCTTTTTTTGTGATAAAATATGGCCCTTAATTTAAAATTATCAATATGATTAATTTTTCAATTTAGTTTTTTTATGAGTAATTGGTGATTCAAAGTGTGTAGGATTGGGGAGTCCATACTATCAAGTCTGTTGAAGATTCAAATGCAGCTTCTTCTATGTTTTGCTGCTAATATTGACGGGTTTGAGTTCATTATTGTCCCAAACTCCCAATGGCCAATTTTCAGAAGAAAATCTTGGATGAAATAATCCCTTTTTCATGAAAAATCGCTTAGGGCTAATCAGAGTGCATCTTTATCCAATAATTATTGCAGTGCTAGAAATACTGTCAGTTCCATATATTAGAGTGCCAAATTCTCTCTATCAAGTTCAAGTGAACATGTTAAATTCATGTTGTGTATACAACCAAAGGCAATCTTAATGCAACTTTCCATTATTCTGTGGTTAGCATATTGTAACCGTGCTACAACTCTGCAGTCTTATTAAAAAATTTGCTTTGCAAACAATATTTTCATGATTATAATATCTGTGCCTTTTCAATGGTTACATTGTCAGAGATGCGAAGCCTTTTATAACGGAGGTTGTTATTCCAGTGAAGATTCTGACTTTGCACTTCTTGGGAGATTTTTTAAATCCAGATCGCATCATTTTGCTGGTAAAAAATGGCAAGTGCCTTGTTCATCATCCATTTCTGCAGATACCTTCAATGAAGTTTCTCCTGAGAGGTTGTGGGAGGTAAAATTCCACTATTGTTGCCTGTGGTGTCTCTATGAATTGCTCGAAAGTGGGATCGTTTCTGGTATGGTTCAGCTTACTTTGTGCAATTGCCTCAGGATCTTAAGCCGACTGTTTCATACCTTTCACTGAAAGAATTGGAATTGGTACACAAAGCTCTTAAGGTACTCCTGCATTTGAAGAATCTTCGTGGACATTATACTTATTGACTCAATTGAAGTATTTGTGAACTTAATGTTTTGGTGGTACAGCTGGCCTTTGAAGCTCATGATGGTCAGAAAAGACGCAGTGGAGAGCCATTCATCATTCATCCAGTTGAAGTTGCACATATTCTAGGAGAACTTGTAAGTTTCTCGTAATTTAAATATGCTCATTTCTTGACATTGACTTTTAACTTGCTCTCACAATGTCAGACTGTCACTTTCCTGTTTTTTAGGAGCTGGATTGGGAGTCAATTGCTGCTGGATTACTGCACGATACTGTTGAGGATACGAATGTCGTTACTTTTGAAAGAATTGAGGAGGAATTTGGTCTTATTGTGCGCCACATTGTAGAAGGAGAAACTAAGGTGCTTTCTTTACATTGGTATATACATCTATGAACTAAGCATCTGAAATGTTATCTTACACATTTTTTTGAACACAGAGCACATATTTGTTCTAAATATCTTCCATTTCTTGCTTAGGTATCCAAACTGGGAAAATTGAAGTGTAAAAATGAAAATGAATCTGTACAAGATGTAAAAGCTGATGACCTGCGGCAGATGTTTTTGGCCATGACAGAGGAGGTTATTCATTGCTTATAGATTTTTTTTTTTTTTTTCTGTGCATAGTCCTATCCATTGTTTAAGCAATTTTATAATTAAACTGCTGTGTTTTCAGGTTCGCGTCATCATTGTCAAATTAGCTGACAGATTGCATAATATGCGTACACTTTCGCATATGCCCCCGCACAAGCAGGTAGCGTGTTGAGTTTTTTGCTTTAATTGGCGATTGACGTAAGTTATATTTAACATCACTATTTTGTCTGCAGTCCAGCATTGCGATGGAAACACTTCAGGTCTTTGCTCCTCTTGCAAAATTGTTGGGAATGTATCAAATCAAGGTATATCTTTACATCTCCTTTTTATATGTAAAATTCTATTCTATGATTGGGTGTTGCAGATAATTAATTAGTGTTGTAAACATGTTAACTCATGTTGTATAAGTGGCCTTGGTTATCTAAGCTGATCAAAATTTGAGATGTTGAAATATACAAAATCATGCTTCCAATTCTAAAGTTATTTCTCTTACTTAGTTTCAGACTGTGAGTAACCAGATTATTGTAAACTTTGAGGCAATGCATTTCTCTAGCCTAAGAAATTGCTAGAAATTGACCATTTAATTGTTTCATTCCTTGTCAAACTATACCATAATATGCTTCTTTTTTGGTTCTGTGATATTGTCCTCTTTAATTATATTAATTTGCTCTACTAAGTGTGAAGATGCAGCGTGCTTTTCCAAAACTGTTGAATGACATGCACTTTATTTCTCCCATCTGTTTTGGACTTGTCCATTGTTAATCAACAGTTGCATGATGCCACTGGTGTCCTCTGAAATTTATAACTTTAACTCCAAGTTCTTAGGGTGGTCTCTACTTGAAGTGCTTGTTAACAATTTTTCCCCTGTTAATTTTAATTGCAAACCTGACATGATGTTTGCAGTCTGAGCTTGAAAATCTTTCATTCATGTACACAAATGCTGAAGATTATGCTAAGGTCAAGAGGAGAGTTGCAGAGCTGTATAAGGAACATGAGAAAGAACTTGAAGAGGTTTTCTTTTTCTTTTCTTTCATGTATTATGTTTAATAAGGTCTCTAGAAGTGTTCACTGCAGGATGGTGGAGATCACGAAGTGCAATGATTATAATCAAGTATCAGGGATTGTCAAGCTTTGTGGTTCTTAAAAGGAATGTAGCATTATTGCGGTCATTTTTAATCAACGTTTTTTCTTTTGTATTAGGCAAACAAAATTTTGAAGAAGAAGATAGAGGAAGATCAGTTCCTAGACCTTTTGACAGTGAAAACTGAAGTACGTGCTGTATGCAAGGAGCCTTATAGGTGAAGCCATAAATCTTCTAATAGTTATTTTCTTCATTTATTAATTTGACCTGGTTGTTGATTTGTTTGAACCACGGATTTAGTTATCTTAGTGTATCATTATTTGTGCAAGTTCTTTGGACCTAGGGCCTGCATCCTACTCAGATGTTGCATAGTTCCACCCTGGCAAATAGCCCTTCCTTCTTCCTGGTGAAAGAATCCTTCCTCCTTTGAGTTAAGTGTGCCTAGGCAAATATGGTACCACAACGAGAGACCTCCTAAGAGTCCTCGTGTTGCATTTGCACCCTTCTTAGCAAAAGTTAAAAAACTCCCTCATGGCCTGTTTGTTAATGAGTATTGTCTGGGTCTCAAAAGGGTAGGAAGATGACCCTTATTTATGCAGTTGGCTAACAAGTTTCTTATTTTACATTGAGTTTTCCTGGCATGTCTTGGAGATTATAGTTGCTTTTAGTTTTTACCACCATCTTTTACCCTCATGGCCTGTTGAAAATGTTGCTTTAAAGGGTCCTATTTTCTTTCTTGGTTCTCTTTGTCAATGTTTTTGACTAAGAAATTTTGTTGCTTGCTTTCAGTATTTATAGGGCTATGCTTAAATCCAAAGGTTCGATCAATGAAGTTAACCAGATTGCACAGGTTTGTTTCAACATGTGCTTTGAGCCATCCTCAGAAACGTTCAACAGCAAAACTTTACATTTTATCATTGTGTGTTGACACGTTTGTCTTTCTAATCAAACCAGCTTCGAATTATCATCCAGCCAAAGCCCTGCATTGGAGTAGGGCCTTTGTGTAGTCCACAGCAGGTATATGTCCCTGTCATTTTTCTATGGAAATGTGTCTTCTGCTATGTCCCTGACTTGATGTACCTTTTGGGCATTTCTCTTGACTGGATGTTATGCAGATATGCTACCATGTTCTTGGCGTAGTCCATGGAATCTGGACCCCCATTCCTCGAGCTGTGCGTATTCTTTTATTCTTCATTCTGAAGCATTAGTGCTAATATTAGATACTGTTTGTCATGTTTTAAGACAAATTGAGCAAATTTTATAACAGATGAAGGACTATATTGCAACTCCAAAGCCTAATGGTTATCAAAGTCTTCATACAACTGTTATTCCATTTTTGTATGAAAGCATGTTTCGACTGGAAGTTCAGGTATTCTTTGATGTTCATGTTTTACCAAGTTCCATTTTCTTCTGATAGTAGAGAAAAGGTTTTACTTTTGCTTTCGTTTTTTTTTTCCCTCATAAGAGGGCTTTGCTTGTGTTAGGAGTCTCTTGATCTATAAAAGAAAATGTTCAATTTATTTTCTTTGTTTTCGTAATTCACTCAAATAGTCACTTATGGTTCTTGTAAATTTTTAGTTAATTTTCGTAGTCCTTTGATTTGTTGGTTTGGATACTTGCTACACATTTAGTTACAAAAACAATCTATTTGGCAGATAAGAACTGAAGAGATGGATCTGATAGCTGAGAGAGGCATTGCTGCTCATTATAGCGGGAGAGTATTTGTTACAGGTTTAGTTGGACATGCAATGCCTAACGGTAGAAGTACAAGAGGGAAGACGGTCTGTCTTAACAATGCAAACATTGCACTCAGGGTATGTTAATTTTGCTCTTGATAAGTCGTTATAGTTCACAAACATCCATAATAGCTTGTAGGAAAACTGCTTTAAGTTTCCATGACTTTGATGCTAATTTCATGGTTGAAGTTCTTTCTTTCCTCCAGATTGGCTGGCTCAATGCAATTAGAGAATGGCAAGAGGAGTTTGTTGGCAATATGAGCTCTAGGGAATTTGTAGAGACCATTACCAGAGATCTGCTTGGTAGCCGTGTCTTTGTGTTTACTCCAAGGGGAGAGGTACGATTATGTATTAATTTGCACTAATAAAATGTTTTTGGTGAGAAATGGTGAATTCACATAATAGATGTGCAGTTCTGGATTTTGATATTTGATGATACAGATAAAAAATCTGCCAAAAGGAGCCACTGTGATTGACTATGCTTATATGATACACACTGAAATTGGCAATAAGATGGTGGCTGCAAAGGTATTGTTTTTTTAGTCAGTATCATGTTCTTTTATCGTTGAAGGGTTACTAAAAATACAAAAGCTAAAACAACAAAATTCTATGTCTGAATTCTTCACTTCCTTTTTTGCAGGTCAATGGTAATCTTGTCTCCCCAATGCATGTACTTGCTAATGCAGAAGTCGTTGAGATAATTACTTATAATGTTAGTATTTATGGATCTTATAATATTTGTAATGTTTTTCAGAACTTTATGTTGTAGATCCTGCATATCCCGTCCTTTGCATAATAGAAAATAGAAGATAATTTGCTTTTCCAAGTTCCAACTACTGGAGTTTGAGTAAATATAAGCTTAATGTATTTTTGCATAAAGCTATAGGGTTTGGCATTATGATACATTATATTCGTTCTTTCAACTTGTATTTTTAGCTTTGTAATTATCTATCTGCTTTTTGAGACTTCACAGGCTTGCTTATACATCTGAAATTTAAAAATGCACATCATTATCCCCTTGTTCTGCTGCTCACCTCATAAATTCATTGTTTGCACAGGCACTCTCTAGCAAATCAGCTTTTCAGAGGCATAAGCAATGGTTGCAACATGCAAAAACACGCAGTGCAAGGCACAAAATTATGAAAGTAGGTTTAGTCATATGGATTGAAATTGTACAATTTTTTATTTGTGTAATTCCTGCTGCTCTTAAGAATAAAATGCTCTTAATCTGTTCAGTTCTTAAGGGAGCAAGCTGCACTATCTGCTGCTGAAATAACAGCAGATTCAGTAAATGACTTTATTGCTGATTCTGAAGAGGAGAGTGAGGTAGAAGATATCTCAGATGATAACAAACGGAGAAGACCTCTGTGGGAGAAAATACTTATGAATGTTGTGGAAAAGTCATCGCAAGGGAAACGTTCTAATAATCTCTTGCCCTTGAACTATGGAAGTGTTTGGACCCCCAAGGTCAACGGGAAACATAATAAGGATGTGCAGACCAAGGGGGAGTTATTTTCTCAGGGAAATGGTGTTGCCAAGATGATACAAGCTAGCATTCCAAGGTACAAGGAAGTCTTGCCTGGTTTAGAAAGTTGGCAAGCCAGAAAGGTTGCCTCTTGGCACAGTCTTGAAGGGCACTCCATCCAGTGGTTTTGTGTTGTATGCATTGATCGAAGAGGTAATTCTTCTTTCAGTCAGTGATGGTTTGTTGTCCACTCATGGTTGCATATTTTAATGAATTCTCAAAGTTGTGATTGGCCCAATCATGGCATGATAAGATGTTTTTTTTTCTCTCCAAGCTTGACACTTGTGAAAATCTTATCAATATTTCTGATTGTTTCTTGTTGACCATGTAAAAATTTGAATGCAATTTCAGGCATGATGGCTGAGATTGCAACAGCATTGGCCTCTTTAGACATCGATATATGCTCTTGTGTGGTAAGTAGAACTTCATGCAATGAATTACTGAACTCACTCTATTAATGATATGCTCGACAGATAGACTAACGTACTGTCTGTACTTTCAACCATCAGTCGGAGACTGATAGAGGAAGGGGAATGGCTGTGATGCTGTTTCATATTGAAGGGAACCTTGATAGTTTGGTAGGCAATCGAGAATCCATCTCCTTCATGTCTTATATTTCTACTATTCCTGTGTCATTGCTTGATCGCAGTCTTTCCCTCGGTTGTGAGATTAGTTGATCATGATATTTCTGCTTCTATCTCTTTTAGGTTAAGGGTTGCTCAAGCGTGGATCTAATTCAGGGTGTTTTGGGATGGTCTACGGGGTGCAGCTGGCCTAGCTCAACAGAAAACCAACAAATTCTTGAATGCTAATTGATCGGTGGCCCAAGTAGTTCGCCCAGCTGTTGCAAGCATGGGTAAGAAATTTTGCCCCCAGAAAAGATAGGTTCTGGTGCTCTTACATTTTTGGATAATTAGATCTATAGTTCTCATGTATTTTGTTGTCGTTGGGACAACTGCTACAAAATAAACCAGCAGCAGCCAATTAAGCTAAGTCTGTCTGTGGACATTCAGGGGATTGTATATAGAGAAAGAGTGATAGTTAAGAGGGTATACGCATGTAAAGCTACTTGTGAAGAGAGGATGGTTAAACTTTTACACAAAAAGAATTCTTGCCATATAATTGCGCCCTTTTCTTTTCTTGGTGCAAGCTGCCCCTGTTGTCCGTCCGTGAATGTTTAGCATTTTTTTCATGCAAGAATTACATTGTTTTACTGAGTCAGAAGCCCAAGTTTGCCACGAACCAGTATTGTTACACGTCTAGGGGCCATTTAACTTTGTGAGGTTGCTGGAGGGTTGTTTTTGTTTTGTGTTCCTCTATACCCTTTCTAATTCTAATCTGTGGTAGTTATAGGCTCTGAGAGATCTCACTTGGGCCGAGGCCCGAGGGTACTAGTGTATTTTAATAGTGAATTAGCATTAGCCTTGTGACCATAAGCATGACAGCAAAATTTGAAAACAAAGTACTTTTCAACATAGGAGCCATGAGATCCTCTGTAGGTTGTAAGTCATAAATAACTGCTTGGTTAATTTCATGTCCTTCGCTAATGGTCCGGGTATTAGAGTTTAATCATCGTATGTAAAATAATCATCCGTGAATAAGTGCTGCTTCAAGGGACGATTTGTGCAAGATTGAGGGGCAAACGAGAATAGATATGTGAAATTCTTATTGCTCTTAATTTTGCCGAAAATGTTTGTTTCAGTTTTCCACACAACTAAACCTCATGGACAAGGAAAGAATTACCATTAACAACACGATAAGACAGGATTAAGATTTTCTCATGACCGTCATGTTACTTAAATTAAAATAATTAAATTAATTGGATAAACATGATTTAGTATATGATAAAAATAAAAATAGTAGTAACTTAATTCATCATCATTTTTTTTTTCATCTAATCATTAGATTTGGAACATGATCGAATATTATGTTACTAAGAAAACATGAGAGGATCCAAATCCATAAAACTGACACTATAATGAGTAAATAAAAGGAGCAACCAAAAAGCTACTAGTAACATTGCACAAACCCAAATTTTCCTCCTTGCTGCAGTTTGATTATTCACCTCAACAAGTTCTAGCATTTCTTTCTTCTTCAAGGACATTGGATCTTTGCTGTTCTCGTGATTATCTGTGTCATTGTTGAGGATATTGCTTTTGCTGTTGTTGAAATCACCAAACTCTTCGGTTTTGTTGCTCTGATCTTCCTCCTCCACAATCTTCTCTTTTGATTCCAAGCTTTGCAGGTTTACTGAGGTGTTCTTTACTTCTAGTGGTGATGCCACTATTGAATCCCCTAATTCTTCAGTTTTGGTACTTCCATCTTCCTTAACTATCTTCTCTCCTGGACATTGCTTGTTTATTATGGTGTTCTTGAGTTCCATTGACAATACCTCTATTGACTCTGCTGGCCAAATTGTCTCAGCATTGGTTTCAGCGGAAGTGCTTCCTGTTCCTTCTGAACTTTCTGAGTCTTCGTCCATGGCACGATATGCTTCACTGCTATCCTCCTCCTCCTCCTCCTCCTCCTCTTTATCAACCAAATGCATTGCTACAGTTGTCTCAGAAGTTGAACTTTTCATCGCTAACTGCCTCTTCCTCCATAACATATTCCTCATTGCTGTATCCCTCCTCATCTTCTTCCTCTTCTCCTTCTACTCTTTCTAGTTCTTCGTCGTCTTCAACCAAATTCACTGATTTAGTTTCTTCTTCCATAATACTTTCGGCATCTACTTCCTCATCCTGTCTTTCAATTTCAATTCCTTCCAACAATGACAAGTTCTCTTCTGAATCATTCTTGATCTTGTCCTCCACTTCATTCAACGAGTCGCTATCAAGTATCGGCAAGGGAAGTTCTTCGACGCCACAACAATCTTCACATGATGTAATAGTCATTTCTTGTTTTGGATCATCAGTAAGGAGGATCTCCTGATCATCACTAGCGAAATTCTCATTTTCGTCATTAATCATAGAAGCGGAATTCTCCTCCTGAACCAAATTTCATAAGGTATCAGTAATATATAATCAATCCTAGCTAGTTTTGATCTCCCTTCCATTATCATTACAAGATCAAGACAACATATATAAACAGACCCTGATGGATCCATCGTCTATGTGAAAGGATATCTGATGCAGGGGAAATTGTTAATAATTACCAAAATCAAAATCTCAGTAGAGAGAAGTTCAGTAGAATCAATCTGGGTTTCTTCTAAAACCATCCCTGTAGATCCATCTGTCAAACTGCAAATTAAGAAACCATTCTTTTAATTCTGCGTGCTAAATATTAACGTGCAAATAAAACCAGAAGAGAAGTAAACAGTCTTAAAGCTGACCATGGATTCTGATGGAAAGTGGAGGATGGATTTTGAGGGATAAAACGCAGGCCTTGACTGCCCTTGACTTCCTTTTTGCAAGGTAAGTCCTTATTGTCGCCTCTTCTTCTCCTTCTCTTGACGACAAAAGCAGCAATCGAACCAGCAACAGCGAATGCTCCAACCAACACAACAAATCCTCCAATATTACCACCAATATTTATGCCCTTGTTTTTCCTATGTTTTTCATGCTTCTCCATTGTTGTTGGGTTCTGCTGGATGTTGGCTAAGATCGTGTTTGGAAGTTTGGCGTGGAGTTCAATGAAGCCAAATGATTCCAAACTAAATATATGAGGAGAGAGGAGAAAAAGATTGAGAGAGAGAGAGAGAAAACTAAATATATGAGGAGAGAGGAGAAAAGATTAGAGAGAGAGAGAGAGAAAATAGTGGCCCGGGATAGGATTGACTTTGGTAGGAGTGAAGGATGAACAAAGGAGGTTGAAGCGGGCATCTTTTTTGTGCGTATCGCTAACTGACATCTTTATTTACCTCATCTCGTCTCCACTCGAAGATTCTTCTCTTGAGTTAATCACACTGTGTGTGTGTGTGTTTTATAGGCTAGTATGTTGTAGGTCAGCTTGTGTATAAGTAACGGTTATGAGAAACATATGTAAAAGGCATTGGTAAAATCTTTGATGTAAATTAAATTATTAAATTTAAATAAAATAATTAAACATTCAATGAATTCAAATTTAAAAATTTTAGTTCTTAGAAAAAATTAATAATTATGATAATAATAATTTTACTAGACTCGACAAATTGATTTGAAATTTGATAATTTTGCTGGATTCGACAGATTTGTTCGAAATCCAACCCTTTTAGATTGGATGGTCTGATCATTAACTGTTTAAAAACCAACTAGGATAAATTTTACTTCAAAAAAAATCCAATGACCTATTAATTAATCCAACGACCTACAGGTTCACCGTAAAGGCCGAAGACTTGGGCACTTGGTGGATCTTGTCTTGGATGGTGCTTAATAACTATGGATATCATCGTGTAGGATTCTTTGACTTTTTATGCACTACTCTACAAAAGGATGGATAGATTAAGCATATCTAATAATTTTTACTGGCTTTTACGGTAAGACATCGTAAATGTTCATAAATAATTATGAATTGGAGTGACGTTTGATTTCTTTGTGTTTTTTTTTATAACAAATATAGAAAAATTATTAAGTATGTCAGAAGCTGTATTCCATCCTTTCATAAAAAATGATAATTTTACTATAAATACATGAACTTTAATTATTATTATTTTCAATACATTATTTTTTTAAAAATTATCTATTGAATATTTTTTGTCAATTTTTATATTAATTAATTACGTATCTCTTATCCTCAAAATATCAATTTATAATTTTATCATTTTTTTCAATCTAGATATATAAACCATTAGACTAGAAGTTTATTGGAAGTTGCAACACATAATTAAGCTATTTGTCTTCAAAGTCACCATTGACATGTAGTTTTGAACTAAGATATGTATCATATTATATGTAGTTGAACATAACCAATAACTAAATTGACGTGATGGGTTTTTTTCAAAACTTTTATGATTCAAAAATGGATAGAAATTAACATTCTAATCCATTAATTAAAAAGTAAAATAATATTATCACCTGCAACTATATGATAGTATAGATAGATCTGGATATCAATTTGCCTCTTCTATTTGTTTATTTTTCTCTCCTTTTATATGAAACTGACTATTACTAATTATGAGGACCACGCCATGAAACTTCTTGTATTCTCTTCTCGAGGATCCAAGGACGGCCAAAATTTAAACGCTTTATGACATCAATTTCTTTCTCTTTTAATACTATTAATTTTCACATTTGAGGTTTTCTTAATTACGTATTATCTCTCCAGCAACAAAAATGCCAAAGAACAGAAGTAGAAATAACCAATTACATAAATTGAATTGAATTTTTTATGATTTAATCTTCGTTAAAGCGGCCAAATAAACTACGTAATACAAGAATTACATTTTTTTTAAAAGAAAAAAGAACACTTATTATGTACTTAATTCAAATTAAAGCCAACGGCAAATACTGCTTTAATAATTAGAGCCTGGGTTAGGTGCGGAGGTGTAAACGAAAGGACCGACAGTGAACAACTTCATTTTCTTATTACTAAGGTAATGGTAAGAAGCAAGACGAGCACCATTAATCCCTTGCTTCTCATCTGTAGGAATTTTGCAAGTCTCCGATGGTGATAGTTCAAGAAAAGCCTTGCACTCTTTAACCTTCCAATTATCTTGCATTTCATTAGGGGACAAGGTGGCAAAAAAGTAGCCTTTAGCATCGGTTGCTTCACTCAAAAATGAGAATGGCGCTGCTTCATATCCGTAAGCATCATTAGCCAGGCATGTTATCCTTATCACAGCTCCTGTTCTCACAGCAAAAGATACATATATCTCGAGTTAAAAATCATCCGTATATATGTTATTTATTTATTGAAGTAAGAAAAATAAAAGACAAAATTATGTAAATGCCTTGCACCGATTAAAGCGGAGCAAACCTTTTTCTAAAAAGAATTATTGGTAGTATAATGAATTACCTTCGAGTGGAAAGCGTTTAGGGCCTGATTCACAATAAACAAGGCCTTGGACACCTATTATTGTTGAGAGTAGCTTCTCCTTTTTAAGCTTCGGTTTCTCAAAGTTGAGGTTGTGCTTAGAGCCATACCCGCCATCCGTAGCAGAAGCAATAGCCAGCAATAACAGATACATAAAGAAGGGGAAGAAGAAACGATTAGGAGCCATTATCCTGTAAAGAATAGCAAGGAAAGAAAAAGAGGAAGAAGGGGATGAAGGGTGGAACAAACCATGTTGACCTTTATAATCTTCCAATCTCATCATTGGCTACCGAATATAATATGTTTGAAGTTGGAAGTAATTTGGTTGCACGATAGATGGTCTCTCCACATCCATAGACATGGGCGGGTACTGCCACTGCTGTATTGGACTGCACGTCCAATATTTTGTTTTCATGCTATCTGGACTGGGACCCACGCAATTCCATTGGAAGCCATTCGACGGATTTTTTTTTTTAGTGACATATTAAAGTGATGTTTTGTAAAAATCTAAGACGGCTAGCTAGAAGGAAAATATTTCTAATTATTTAAATAAATAATATTTTATTTAAATTTTTATATATGTAGAAAAGTTTTTAAGTTATTATTTCTGTCTTATATATCTAATCAAATAACAATGAATTAGTTTAAGTTTTTAAATATGAAATATTTCGAAAATTAAAAAAAAAATTATGTTTGTAAAAAGTTAAGAGTTTTTGGAAATGTAAGAAATTTTCAAAGAGATTAATATAAAACTTTTAGAGAAGACAAAAATAAAGAGAGGAAAAGCTTACTGTTTACATTATTGAGATACGTATTCATTATATAAGTCACTCTTTTTTTTTCCAAGTGATAGAATTCTATTTAATGTACATATTTCAACAATTTAATACGAGCTTTTTTTCTTTTTACATTTAGGACCACAAATATATATTACTTCATTTTTTATATTATTTTGTTTAATTTAAAATAACATATAATATATAATTCAATGAGACCAATCTCATTGTATTATATTATTATTATTATTATTATTATTAACACATTCATTGCTTGCATATCATTCATGTTGTGTAGTCATTCTTATATATAAATCACTCACATTTTTTATTTTAAACGATAGAATTCCATTTATATATACATACGATCAACAATTTAATTCTAGCTTTGTTTAATTTAAAATACCATATATATAATATATAGAGGCCAACCTCATTATTATTATTATTAGTAGTAGTAGTAGTAGTAGTTTTATTGACATATTCATTGCTTGCGTATCATTCATGTTGTGTGAAGTATATATACATGATTGGGATTTTTCTCTATCATATAGCTTAACTCACATTATTGATTTTATAACTTTTATTATGTTTTAATTAGATTTTTATGTATTCGAAGTTTTATTGTTTTATAGTCTCACCATAAAACAATATTGTAAGCCTTTAAATCAAGTTCAATGGTTGCATTTAGCCAATACCATCATCTATTTTGTTATACCTAACATCAAAGTGTTTTCGGTGCTTTTCTGATTGATTTGAACTATATATAATATGGCAATGCATATACATTGCCATATTGGGTCATCAACTAATTGGTCAATATGATATGAAGAAGCATAATTAGGATTGGACTCCAACTATTATTATTATTATTATTATTTGAAAATGTGACGTATTTATACATATCTCATTAGTCTTGTTTGTATAGATATTTTAAATTTTGTCTTAAACATGGGTATATATGATGGGATAACTATATAGATAAATGTAGATGTGAAAAATGTAATTTTTTGTATTAAATGTGCAGACACAATGTCCATTTTATATATTTATTGAAAAAGAAAAGGATACACTGCGTTGATCTAATCGTAACCATCAAGTACGGACCAATGAGAGCTATAATACTAATGGTTATTTTGATATATTTACAAGTAACAAGGTATTGCGTGAATCCAACATTTTAGATCACCATAACTAGTTTTTGATAGAGCATCTAATGATGGAATTGATTTATATCGCAGCACAAAATTCATAAACCTTTTTTATTTTTAGAGCAGAAAAGGCTTACTAACGAGGCGTTCGGTATATAAGTTTAGGCTTTCCGCATACTTTTTTCACAAAAGTCTATGCAACTGAATTCAAATTAAATTAATATGTTGCGAAGCGGCATACCTATAAAGAAATAAAGAGATAAAAAAAAAAAAAAAGTGCACGTTCTTCAAGCTCTTAATTAATGTATAAATAACCAAGCTTATTACAACATCTCAATGCAGATATATAGCAAAGTCAATCAGGACAATCAAAATAAATTAACAAGAAGAATGCAATCAAATTCCTGTCCCAAAAGTTAAAAAAAAAATGATAAAAAAACAGAAACAAAGAAAAAATTTAATAACCACCGGCAGGGGTTGATGTAGCTTCCGAGGTGTAGAAGAAAGTCCTCATAGAGTACAACTTAATGTTTTTGCTACTGAGAAGGCGGTAAGGAGAAAGGAGGGCACCACTCATCCCGTAGTTGACATCTGTTGGAATTTTGCAGGTCTCCAATGGAGAGCTTTCAAGGTAGGCCTTGCATTCTGTGACCTTCAAATCATCGCCAAGCCCAAAAGCAGGCAATATTTTGTAGTAGTAACCGTTTGCATCAGTTGCACCAGTCAAGCATGTGAAAGGTGTTGTCTCGTATCCGTTCTGGTCCACAGCGATACATGCTATCCTTACCACAGCTCCTGCACAAGATAAAAAATTATTTAAGGTGGAAAACCTATAAACTTTGCTTCATTTTTTAAGGAAAATAAGATAATTAACTTATGGTCCCTAGAGTGATGCTAATGTTAAGTTCACCAAATTTAGATGCAATATTCTTGAAAATAAATGGGAACTCTTCGTGCACGCAGCCAGAATTAAAGTAATTTTAAACATAAAAGCATGCAATATTACAAAGCTATTCATGGCGTAGATTTCATTAGTTTTTTTTATTAACGTTATACTATGGATCAGATAAAATATATAAAATTATTTTTAAGAAATTATTTTATTTTGATGTTCCATATTAGATTGTGCGTTTATCAAAATATATTAAATAAAAAATGAATAAAAATTCATTTAATTTTATACTTTTTTAATTAAAATTTTGTATTTAACTAATTATTCTTTATATTTTTATAAATTTTTTTATTAAAAAACGTTATTTATTTATCTCTATCCATATTTTTAGTTAAAAACTTATTTTGTAAATTATTTTTTTAAAACATCGTTTTGCCTTAAAATTTTTAATTAAACAAAAAAAAATAAGGATCAAAGTGATCAAAATGAAACAAAAAAGAAAAATGAAAATAAAACTTAAAAATTTACAGATCGAAAAAATAATATTTAAAAAAAGAGAAACTAAAATATAATATTACGAAAAATTGTATAATAAATGTTTTTAAAAAATTTAAAAACTATAAAAAAAAAGTCATTGCATGGTAAAAAAAACAATGCATATGAGTCTATATGAATGGTATATATAAATGTGGATAAATAGTATTTGAAATAGTGTTATGAACTGTAAACTTATGTTTTGGTTTAGTATTTTTTTATAATATAATATAATATATAGAGAGAAAATATTGGATGTAGAAATTACCTTCAATGGGAACATAAGTAGAGCCTGATTTGCAAAGAACAAGACCTTCAATCCCAATGGGGAGTGGAGCTTCTGGAATTGAACCGTACCCATAATTTGATTTTTCGTTGCCTAATTTTGGTACGGAGAGGTTTGGTTTCGGTATGGTCAACTTCGGTTGATCAACATTTGGTTTTGGGCCATACTTAAAGTCAGGTTTCGTCAATGTCTGTTTTGGGTCATATCGATTATCCGGCTTGACTATATCTGGTTTAGTTTCGGGTAAGTTTGGTTGATCAAGTTTTGGTTTCGGGTCATATCCAAACTCGGGATGTTGGGTTTTGTTTTTGGATCATGGCTCAAGTCAGGTTTAACAGTGTCTGGCTTTGAGTCGTAGCTATAATCTGTAGCAGAAGCAATGACCAACAACGACAAAAGAAGGATAGTGGTTGCAAAGAATAAACGGGTTAGAGCCATTGCAATGCAAAGCACGAAAAGAGAAGTATGAAGCTACTGATTATTGATGGTGAAGACTAGTCGCTAGCAAGGTATTTTATAGAAAGGATGCTCCAATTATTTTACTAATATAGCATAAATAAAATAGACATTTGTGAGAAAACTTGTGTGCACATTAGGGAAGGAATATTATATACATGGTTGCCACTTTTAATGAACTTTAAATTGCCTTCACTGAGATACGTGATGAGCATTACAGACAAGAGAAGCCAGCTAGTAACCTTTCACTGATATTTGCAAGATTGCTTTCATGATATTTTAACTTCTTGAAATTTTGGCTAGTTTGTTCGAGTTTAGAGAGAGCTGGAAATTAGAGGTATACTCCAATTGGCGAACAAAACGAAAATTCTTTATAATTTATATAAAAATATATATATATAGACACTGAAAGTAAAGAGTCTGACAAAATTGCATAATGGATATTTGGAAGGGAGAGGACAAGCCCCCAACCAAAAAAAACTTTGAAACTTTATTTTTCTGTTAGTTTCAGACTTACAGGCAATGGCTAGTGTGGAATATATTTATTTTAGCCCCTCCAAATCTCAAATAATATACGTCGGATTTCAAAGGCAAGTAATATCATTTAATTATTTGAGACTTTTTTTTCTTGAAAATATATTGTTAGCCTAAAAATTAAAGCTAACGTTTTTTACTATAACAATACATTATTGAAATTAGAAACTAAGTTTTGAAGCTGAGTTTGCACTAGCTAGGTTACAATGCTAATTAAATGAAATTGTTTGAGCTTTGATTATTAATTCTCGAAAAAAAAATTATGAGTGTCTTTGTCAAAACCTAAGAGTTGAAGACAGAAAGGATGGATGAAGGGAAAGGAATGAGAGACGAAAGATTGAGTGGTCGCTTCTTTATTTATTAATTATTTTTTGAGAAAGGGTGGTCACTTTACTTGACAAAAATATGGAGATCCAACGAAGAATTAGAAAGATTTCTTACTAGTAATTTGTAATTTTTCTAATTTAATCGGATCGCCCTCATCTCTCCTTTAATTTGTAATATTTTTCAATAATTTTAATTTAAATAAATTGACTTTTCATCTTTATTTTTTTTTATTATTAGTCATATATACAACTAATGAATGGATAACTGATCATTCATCCTTTCTCATCTTCATCATTTCACTTTATTTCATAAATCCATTATTCTCCCATTCATCCCTCCAAACAAATATAATATAAAATTTAAAGATAAAAGGTGTTGTTAATAGACTCAAGCTTGGACGCTTGAACTTTAGTGAAAGACTTATTGTTACTCTAATTTCTAGAATTTCTTTTTTCTTTACTGTAAAGCTCTTAAAAACATTCTTTTTAGCGCTTCAATTAAAATTTCTTGATTGTGGGACTTGTTATACTAAACATTTTTGACACGAAAACTCCAAAGAAAGTGACCTGTACGTATCTGAACAGATGTCCAAGACAATTGAATTGTTAAGCACAAGTTTAGAGAAACAAGCCTTCAGTCTAATTTGGAAATAGAACGTCTTCTTTGCATTTGTTGCACCTACTTGATCTCGTAAGGCTAGTTAGGTACAAGGACGGAACTTCTCAGTGAAACATATGAGATTAGAGATTTCCCCTTGTAAGAATAGGACAAACTATTATATAAATCTGATTCATACGGCCAAATCAATTGCGTTAGCTAGCAATATTGCAGTTTAAATCAGGAGAAAGTATTTACTTAAGAAAGATAAATGGCCATTCAGTGTTATGATATTTTTTAAGACCAATAAATTCACTTTCATAATTTATTTTTCAAAAAAAAAATCATATTTGATTATCATACCTATATAACCTTCCATACATATTTAAAATGTTTTAAAAATTTTTTTTCTCATTTGTAAAATATTTTATTGTTGTAATCAATTTTTAATATATTACTATTGTTGTAAGCCTTTTTCTTAAAAAAAAAAAAAATCAAATCTGATTATGGTTATAAAAGTAAAAAAAAATAATTTTTCATATTTATAAATCTTAGTTTTAAAAAGAAAAAAGAGTGACGATAATTTTAATCTTAAAAAACATAATATCGTATGATTTTGTACGGAATATAATATAAACTTACGTGAAAGAAAAGCTTGAAAATGAAATTTATTATTTTTTAAAAAGCTATTATAAAAATTATTTGTACTTTTGTTTTTCTTTAAAGAACTAATCAATCTGATTCTTTAGTTCTTCTTTTCTTTTTAGGCTTCATAGAATTAAAACGTGAAATATGTCTTAAAATGCAAAAACTTACCAAGCACAAATTTGCGTGTTGATGAATGGGCTCAGTTCAAACTTAACAACATCGCCTTCTACGTCTTCGAAATTTGGTCTAAACTCAGCACATTTCTTCTGGTGCAATCATACAATTCTGATCAGATCATACAGATGGGCGTATGATTTTTCAGAAAATACTCGAGATCATATTTTACTATCATTACTGTTCATAAATCTTCACTGTCAAAAATTCATGGGACTCTAATTCCTCTTGAGATTATATGCATACAAATATAATGAATCAAATGCCTTTTATAACAGGAGGAGTTTATTTTGGTTCTGGGAGGTCTGGCTTTGGGGAGGTAACCATAATTTGGTTTGGCAGTCTCTACTTCTGGGATGGTCAGCTTTGGTTGATCCATTTTTGGTTTCGGGTCATATTTAAAGCTAGGTTTAGGCATTGCCAATTTTGGTTTGGGAACGTCTGGTTTGGGCCATATTATTGCTACAAACTAAAACAAAACAGACGAGGGGCGGAAAAAAACTGTTCATCCTCTTACAAAACAGTATTCATTCCTATAGTAAAGTTTTTTTTTTTTTTTTAAAGTTGTTTCACTGTGCATTACTATAAGCTAAAACAGGAAAAGGATTTGAAAAGTAAAAGTAAAAACTATTCAAACTCCTCACAAAATACCATTCATTCCTGTAGCAAAATGGTTTGTTTGTTTGTTTTTTTTTTAAGTTGTTTCACTATACTTGCTAGTTCTTTTTCTTTTCTTTTTTTCTTTGCCCTTTTTTCGTCGATCTAAGTTTTTATTATTTTTTTTAATTTTCATATTGTTTCTTTTTTATCTTTAAAATTTTAAAATAAAAATTTTTATCTCCTAGCTAATGCACTACATATATCTTTTTTTTCTTTGTTTTTTTCATCAATTTATATTCTTTTCTTTTATTTGTTAATTTTTGTAAAAATCTGTTCATTAATCATAACTTTATTTTTTGAAATATAATATTACAAAAATTATATTTTTAAAGTTTTTTTTAATTATTGATTAATATTTTAGTTAAAATTATTATATTTTTTATTTAAAATCAATCCATAGAGAAGAATGATTTAGGTTTTTTAAATACAAAATTTATAAAAAAAAAAAAAAAACATTAAAAAATTAATTTCAAGTTGTTTCACTATACATGTTTCTTCTTCTTCTTCTTCTTCTTCTTCTTCTTCTTCTTCTTTTTTTGTTTGCTTTTTTCCATCAATCTAGATCTTTATTTATTTATTTTTAATTTTTAGGTTGTTTCATTTTGGTCTCTAAAATTTTAAAATAAAATTTTGAATCTCTTAATTGATGCACTACACATGCCTTTTTTTCTTTGATTTTTTTCTTTGTTTTTTTCCATCAATTTATGTTCTTTTTTTTTCATTTGTTAATTTTTATAAAAATTTATCTATTAATTATAATTTTATTTTTTGGAATACAATATTATGAAAATTATATTTTTTAAACTTTTTTTTTAATTCTTGATTGATATTTTAATTAAAGTTATTATATTTTTATTTTAAAATCAATCCACAAATAAAAATGATTTATGTTTTTTAAATAAAAAATTAATTAAAAAACATTAAAAAATTAATATAAAAAAATTAAAAGATTTTTTTTTTACTGAATCTGCCGCATAGCATGGGCGAACGACTAGTCCATTATCTAAATCGATAGGATTTGGTTTTGGGTATAGTTCCTGTTGGTTGATCATCACGGCCTGATTTTTTAACATACTCATAGGTAGGGGTATCAAGGGCTGGTTTTGGTTTTGGATCACAACTAGTTTCAGGCTTAACTGTATCTGGCTTTGGGTCATAGCCGTAATCACCAGCAGAGGCAATGACAATAGGAGAATAGAGGTTGAGAAACGGGGTTAAAGCTACTGCCATTTGAAGTTCAAGAAGAAAAGTTTGATCTCTGATGACTGTTGATTACTAATGGGGTAGGCTAGAGTAATTAACGTGGTGTTTTTATAGGAAGGACGGTCCAATTATTTTATTAATTCCGGACTAAAAGTATATAAATGGGGGAGAAAATTGGTGATGCACAACGGGAAAAATGTATATTCGCGCTTGGCATTTGAATTGAAAAATTATTATATATACTAAAAGTCTACTTTCATATTTATTTATATAATAAATCAAATTTTCAATTTGTCATTAAAAACACATATAATATGTCTTTATTTTTTAACTTATTTTTTAATTTATCTTTTTAATTTTTAACTAAATTAAATTAAAATAAGTATGTGATTTACATATGATATGTAGTTTGACAAAATTGTTTTTATTTTTTAACACAAATGATTTATATCTAATAATATGAAGATTAATTTGTAAAAATTGATTGAAAATTTTGATTAAAAAAATAGATTAGCAAACAAATTAAAAATGTTTTTTTAAGAATAAATTAAAAAATTAACTTATTATATAAACACAAATAAAAGTATTAATTCAAATATCTAATGTCTTGAATAATCTCTTCATTTAAAAGATGCCATCACTATGTGCTTAGCGAGCAGTCAACGACACTTATAACCTCGCAATGTATTCGAGATTGCAACATGTAGTAGGATGACGTGCATCTGATCATTTTTTTCTCTCCATCGTTGTATTTAGTTAGGGATACGCAATAATTCGAATGCAGTGCAGGCTCAAGGCATAGGCCATTAAGGCCTATGCCTAGGGCCCACATAGAAAAGGAGCTTCAATTAAAATTTTATATTAAATCTACACTCATAAAGAATGAGATAAATTAAAAAAATGTAGTCTCCACTTAAATATGAGACATTATTCTTCTATGGATTAACAGATCATAGGTACTAGAGTTCCCGCATTGAAATGCTCCTATTGTTCGGAGATATTATTATTTCAACGTTAAAAACTCTACCTTTTCTAAATGTCTTTCAGTTACCTTCTATCTATAAAAGCTTTCAATTTTTATTTTAGTGAGACACTTTTACTTACAAAAAAGTTTCAAAAAAATATTTGTAAGTGAAATAATTTTTAGATCTCCAAATTTTGTTATTATATTTCTTTATTTCTCCAAACAATCGAGAATCTCTTATAAAACATTTTTCTAATTAGCTTGGCGGAAGAATTTGAAGGTAATTTTTTAATTTATACAAATAAAATTATGTATATAAATCATATAATATTTTATTTTTTCTCAAATTTCTTTTTATTTTCTCAAGTGATTCTCTCCGGGTTTACTTGATTAGATGTGGCAAGCAAATATAATCAAGTGCTCAAAGTTTCTTACTCTTTTTACGATTATATTTTAATTTTATTACTTGAATAAAATGTCTATTAGAAAGTATGAATCTGGATATGAAAAATGTAAGAAAATAAAAAAATAGAAGAACTAATTCAATCCCAAAAAGATGCACTTGATAGATTTGTTACTAATATTAAACCCTAAATACTAGAAGAACAAGATAAAGATTTAAATGAAAATATAGTTGAAAATTGTCAAGAAAAATATTATTTTACCTAGAGTCACATATATTATAAAACCGGCCATGTTTCAATGTCTATCATTATATGCCAAATATATATATATATATATATATATATATATATATATATATATATATATATGGAGAAAGATATTTGGTAGTTGCTTCAATATTTGAAACAACTACCTTTGATGTGTTGAAAATCTTGAAATAATCTTGAAGAGAACAGAATTACTTAATACTTAACTCGTATATAGAAAATACTTTATATTGTCCTTAAAGTGATTATTGCCTCCACTATAATGTTACGGGGATTTTAGCAATTTATTTTTAGGATACAATTTACGCACATAAGGAACTGCAGGCATCACTCTTGAAATTCCTTCAAAAGAATATCTCTTAAAGTTGTAAAGTTTTAACATAATTATGTCGTGCTTAATTGCATACAAAAAATACACTACATTGTCTTTAAAGTGATTATTGCTCTCACTATAATGCTACGGAGATTTTAACAATTCACTTCTAGAATACAATCTACGCACACAAGGAACTATATGCAGCACTCCGAAATTCCTTCAAAAGAATTTCATACATAAAATACCCAGTTTCAATTACATACGAAAATGCTCTACATTGTCCTTAAAATGATTATTGTCTCCACTATAATGCTGTATGGATTTTAACAATTCACCTCTAGAATACAATTTACGCACACAAGGAACTGCAGACAAGCACTCCCGAAATTCATTCAAAAGAATATTTTTTAAAGTTATAGAGTTTTAGAAGGAAAAGAATTTTGAGAGGAGAGGAGGATTTTAGAAAAAATAATTGATTTTGTTATGTGCAATAATCTTATATTTATAGTCACAACTGTTATAAAAATAATTTCTTAATCAACATAATTAATTAAAATTGCTAAGTGCTATTCTTTTATTTTATTGTTTAAATATATATATATTTATACATATAATTCCAATCAATTAGTTTAATTTTCACTCCAATTCCTTCAAATAAACATTTAAAAATTTTACTAAATGTCCATTTTAAAGGCTGTCTTCTCTTTTCATTTCTTTCCCACGTGGGAGAAAAATCTTAATTGAAAACATTTTTAAATTTTTTTCGTAGCGCCCGTAATTTATTATCTAATATACTCAAAATTTCTAACACCATAATGGGCTTTGGTTTTTTAATATAGTATTATCTTATGATGCTGCTGTATTGTGGTGTTGCGATTTTGTAGCCGATCGGCTTCTCTGTATGTGTAATGTACCCAAACAATTGCTAGTTAGTTGCAAGGAATCGCCGGAATGGAACTTCGTGGCTTGCCACGTGTTCTGCCATTCATTGAAGGTTCATTCAAGATCATCATGTCCAATTATCTGTTGGTATAAGCAATATTAATATACTGGTGTTAAAACTGTTGCATTTTCATGCCAAAGAAACTGCGGTGGATAAGCCAGAGGGGGAAGATACGTTTTTTTTAAATCTGTCTCATTTTTTTTTATTGTTTTATTAAACCAAAAATAATTCAATTTTATGGGAATTAATTATAACTTAGCCCCCTTAGTTTTTTTTTTTTTAATGAGCAATTAATCCTTGTAGTATTAAAAATAAGGGTGAATTGCAGCCACCCAAAAAAGATTTGAAAGACCCATAGTTAAATTAAGAAATTTTTAAAAATAGAGATAAAAAATGAAAAAGGAACTCAAAAAAGTTGAATGAAATTATACAGTAAAATTAATATTGTTCATGTACTAAACAATTTATGTCTCGTTTTTTTATATTCTTTCTCGAATTTTTTAAGTTATTAATTTAACTATTTTTAAATAGTAATTAAGGGCATTTTAGTTATAAAAGAAGGTTATTGTAAAATATATATATATGCGAAGGGGATTTTTATTAAATCTTCAAATGGTTTTCGTAATTTCATAATACCTTGACAAAGTTATTGTATTTTTCTTAAAAATAATTAAATAGTCCATCTACCAGTATTAATCATCCTTGATAGTTTGTTGTTTCAAAATTGTTTTTCTTCTCATCTTATCTACATATTTTTTCTTGATATTTTTACAAAAAACTAATAATAATAGGGGAAAATATATAACTTCCTGTAAACGCAATAAAAGGACGCTATTGATTAGGCTCTAGGCACACATGATACATGCATGATTTAAGAGTGCCAAGGTGAATGGACTTCACTTTAAACCTTAAAAGAACTTTGGTTCTAGGCTTTTAACAACATTAAACTCACAAGAGCTAGAGATCTAAGCTTTTTTAGTCATTGATTTAATATAATTTTTAATATTTGACTTCAAAAAAAGTTATAAATATATGCATGGTTAAATATAATTTTTTATTTAAATAAAAAAATTGTGGTAAAATGGAGTCAAATTTTTACTTTAATAAAAAATTTAATTCTTTTAATTTTGAACTTATGGTTTCTAACTTAAACCATCTCCATTATTCTTCAAAAAAGTTCGTTTTGGGTTTTTCTTACAAAATATACTTCTAACTTAACTCATTTATGAAGTAACTTTGGGCTGTCTTCTAAATGTCTCTAACGAACTCTATCACTAGAAGAAATCGAACGAGCCCAAAATGACGAATATTTTCAACCCCATTCTCAAGAGAGGAGAATTTTGGTGTGATGAGGTTCACTGGATTGTGTCTGATATTTTTAAAGAATGAGTGGCAAATAATTGCAAGGGGCTTAGAACTCCAATTTGAATGTCATTATTAAAAAAAGGAAAACGATTACAAAGAAATCATAATTTTTTTTATAAGTTATAACAATATTTTTCTATAATTTACTTTTCGTTGGACGATCGACATCCCCTATAAGCACAGAAAAAAAAAAAAGAAGCGATGCCCCTTTTTCCTATAAAAGAAGACCCCTTTCTATAACATTGAACGATAGAAATTAATTACTAGGTGATTTATAAAAGCGTACATTGAAACTGAAACATGATTAAGCCAGATGCAAAGAACAAAAGACAAGTCTTTAACTCCTCCTCCTTCAAAAAAAAACAAATAATAATAAAATAAATAAAATAAAATAAAAATTCAATGACATTTTGGTTCACTAATATTGGGTGATAATTTAAATCATTAATCTCATTAGAAAACAAAAGCCTTAATTGAAAAGTGCTTATTACAAAAGTCTCAATTCCAATAATGAAACTCATAAAGACAGAAGCAAATAAACAACAAGAACGAAATCAATCCCGTTACTACAGCTTTAAAAAGTGGATGAATAGTAGTCATGGAGAGAACCATTTAATAACCAGCAGGGGTTGATGTAGGTTTCGTGGAGGTGTAGAAGAAAGTCCTCATAGAGTACAATTTCATTTTCTTGTCATGGAGAAGGTGATAAGATGAAAGGGGAGGACCAGCAATCCCGTAGTTCATATCTGTTGGAACGTTGCATGTTTTCAATGGAGAGCTTTCAAGGTAAGCCTTGCATTCTGTGATCTTTAAATGATCATCAAGTCCAAAAGCAGGCAATGTTTTGAAGAAGTAACCCCTTGCATTGGTTGCTTCTGTCAAGAAGGAGAAAGGGGTTTTCTTGTATCCATACTGGTCCACAGCGATACAGGCTATTCTTATCACAGCTCCTACAAAAAAAAAAAAAAAAAAAAGGCGAGGAAATTATAACAAAAAACTTTGATTCAGCAGCATCAATAACAAGAATAATACAGGGCAACAAATTACCGCGTCGAATTCGTTAGCTCATAGAGGAAGAATAAAGGAGCGTAGAAATTACCTTTAATAGGGGTATAACTAGAGCTCTGTTTGCATAGGACAAAGCCTTCAATTCCGATTGGGTAGTCCAGTTTGTCATCGCTTGGTTTGGGTATGTTTAACTTTGGTTTCGGGCCATACCCAGCATGTGGCTTGACCATCTCTGGCTTTGGTGTGGTCAACTTTGGTTGATCATAAACCTTTTCTTTTGGGTCATAACCATGGTCGGGTTTTGGTACAGTCATCTTTGGTGTGGCAAGGTTTGGTTTTGTATCGTATCCGTAATTTGGCTCGCCAGTATCTGGTTTGGCTACGGTCAATTTTGGTTTTGAGTCATAACCATAGTTGGGTTTTGGTATCGTCAATTTTGGTTTAGGAACATCTGGTTTCGGGTCATAACCATAATTTGGCTCCAAAGGGTCTAGTTTGGGAATGGTTGGTTGGGCAAGGTGTGGTTTTGAGTCGTACCCATTGTGTGGTTTTGGTATGGTCAATTTTGGTTTGGGAACATCTGGTTTTGAGTCATAGCCATAATTTGGCTTGACAGTTTCTGGTTTGGGAATTGTTGGTTTGTCAAAATGTGGTTTTTTGTCATACCCATTGCCCGGTTTTGGTACTGTCAATTTCGGTTTGGGGAGATTTGGCTTTGGGTTGGCATTATAAGTTGGTTTGGGGAGGTTTGGTTTGGCAACGTTTGGCTGTGGCTTTGGGTCATAACTAAATTTGGGTTTGAGAGTGTCTGGCTTCGATTTGGGGCTGTAACTATAGTCTGGCTTTTTGTCATAGCTGCAATCGCCAGCTGAGGCAATCACTAGCAATGACAAAAGGAGGATTGAGGTGGCAAAGGAGGAATGGATTAGAGCCATTGCAATCTAAAAGCACTAGAAGATAGGAACAGAACTTTATATTATTGATACGGGACGCTACCATCATCACGGCCTTTTATAGGACTGCTTGCCTGATTGGGCTACTAAATTGAGAAATGAAAATATAGAAAGGAAAGAAACTTGGTTGCGCAATAGGAAAGGAGGGGTAAGCAACTTGATGAGCAATACTACTACACCAAGGACACATCGCAATCCATCATGATGGCTTCGACTTGGACATTAAATATTTGTCTGTTTTTAATTCAGGATATGCATTTGCTATCTTAGAATTTTTATACTTGTAATTAACAGTATCTCGATAAAATATATTGAAGATTAGAATAGGACATGCTTATTGCTTTGGATGGGAAAATGACGAATAAAATCCTCCTTCAGAGAGGCTAATATAAGAGATCATTAAATGAATATTAAAAAAGAGGACAGAAACAGAGATTAATGCACTCCTAAACTGAATATAAAAGAATGGCACGGGTTGGAAACAAAAGGAAACAATGTGTGTTTATGCTGCTCATGACCAAGTATAGAAACATAACTTGTATAAATTTTTTTTTTTTTTTAAGAAATCGATTCTCTCTCCCAATAGAAAATATGTGATTGAGTCAGAATTTGTTAGAGCTGACGGATACAATGGGATCCAATGGACATGATGAGGAGGGAGGAGGTAATTGAGAAATGGTGGATATTTCGGGACCCAAATTGCAAAGGCTTTTCTCCAAAGGATGAATTGGGAAAAAAATAATGAGTAAATTATAAATTAGTCTCTCTAGTTTTAAGAAATATATAAATTAATCCTTCTCATTTCAAAAACTAGTGTTGAATATGCTTAATTTAATATTATTTTTATTATGTCAAAATTCTTATTTTTTCATGAATCTTTTTATATATTTTTATATTTTTTATTTCTTGAAATAAAAAATCAAAATAAATTAAAAATGAGTAAAATTGACTAAATTATAAATATATTTCAAAACATGAGAATTAAATGATTCAATTTTTAAACAAGAGAGACTGATTAATTTGTTTCTCAAAACAAGAGGGATTAATTTATAATTTACTAAATAATGAGTAAATTATAAATTAGTCTCTCTAGTTTTAAGAAATATATAAATTAATCCTTCTCATTTCAAAAACTAGTGTTGAATATGCTTAATTTAATATTATTTTTATTATTTCAAAATTCTTATTTTTTCATGAATCTTTTTATATATTTTTATATTTTTTATTTCTTGAAATAAAAAATCAAAATAAATTAAAAATGAGTAAAATTGACTAAATTATAAATATATTTCAAAACATGAGAATTAAATGATTCAATTTTTAAACAAGAGAGACTGATTAATTTGTTTCTCAAAACAAGAGGGATTAATTTATAATTTACTCAAAAATAATTGATGGACAAGATAAAAGGTATGCTGTGTTTCATAAATGCAGGTCAAGTGAACATGCCATCATGATCCTAATTCTTTTATTTATTTACATTTCGCATTCGACAGCGTGCCTTCGTTTACACTTTTGTTTTTTTTTCTTTTTTCTTTTTTCTTTTTTGGTCCAACATTTTTCATTTACATGAGAAAACTTTCTTGGATGTTCAGCATATTGTAGAACTCTTGGACGAGTTGCATCAGTTTGTAGCATTTCAGAAGGGGTAAGGAGGAAAAATAAATGAAGTAGTAATTTACCACAATATCTTAAGTTTGCTTTCTTCCTTTCTTTGAAACAATAATTTACTTTATTCTTTTGTTCATATTCTTAAAAAAAAATGCTTTAAAACTAGGTCATGCTGTGGTATTTTAAAAATTATATGTTAATTATGCTTTCGTTGGGCTTTGGTTTTTTTTTTTTTTTTAATTATGTTACCTCTTTCTTTTTTTTGTTCAGTTTGCACAAAATTTTCAGTTGATAAAGAATAGTTGCATGCTTCTTTGATCTGGCTATTAATCTATGACATAATCATCCAATTGAAATTCTCTTTGAGTTAAGATTCCATGAAAGATTCTGGTCTCCACTCATTCATCATAGTGTCCAAATATATTATTTCGACATTGAGGCCTTAAGGAAAAATACAAAATTGGGCCACCTTCTCCAAAATTGTATAGAATGGCTCAGCCCATCCAAAAACTCTTTTATGTCATGTGGAACTCATAGCTGGAAATGGTTTTTTATAATCGTTAGGGATGGTTAGAATCAAAATTCGGGTGGTTTGGGAGCCCGGAACTGTAAGCCCAGAAAACAAAGCATGTAAAAGTGGGTTCCCTCTTTAGAAGGTTCCCTCCTTAGAAGGTTCCCTCTTTTTAAAAACTTTATTTAAATTCATCCATCGATTGCTTTCTTCTTTTTTTTTCAATTCACATTTTTTCATTATAGGTTCATAACAAAATTAAAAAAATGGGGCTACTGATGGGAATTAAAACAATAGAATATCTTTTATGGACTTGAACCTAAATTCATAATAAAGTTTGGGCTAGAATGTGTGTCTAGAGTGAGGAGCTTAATGGACCTAGATTTTGAATTTAAATCTTTATTTTACGTTAAATAGTGACTTCGAAAAAAAATTCAAAAGACAACTCATATTATTTTTCTATAGTATTGAAAAAGTAAAATAAATAAATAAGCATTTATCCGTTTGTTCACTTATAACTCTCAAGTTTCAGTTCTATTTTCTTTCTTTTTCCTTTTCACTTTTTTTTAAATACCATTACATATTTTGTAAAAGTGGGTTACTTCAACTACAACACAAAACTTATAATACTTCATAAAAATGTTAGTGTTATAAAAGTCTATAATAAAATAAGGATACGACTAAGTTTATCAATCAAATTATTATTTTTATCAATTGTTTTTATCGAAAATTATCAATACACTCTCTACTAATATATATTACATAATAGTTATTGGTAATTATATAGAAAAAAACGATGGAAGTAACAATTTGGTTAATAAATTTAGTAGTGCTTTAACATAATTGTGGAAGAAATTATTTATAGATGAGCACCACTTCTGCTTTCTTTGGTTTGCTTTTTTCTTTCTTTTTTTTTCTTTTTTTTAATTACAAGCAGCAAATTGAAAATAAACATGAAATATCATGAAAAAAAAGAAGCTAAAGTTATACAGGACAACATAGTGAAAGTGAAAGCAATTTTATGAATCAATTTAAAACAATAAGCAATTTGCTATTTATGAAGATGGGATGGATATCTCATCACAGTGTAGATGAGATCTACTTATCTGTTCTTCAATTTTTACACCACACTCTTCCTATCCTATATTTTGGTGATCGTCTCTTGCAGTTCGAAAGAATTACATATTTGATCTGCAATATTCGAACAAAATAAAATAATTAAACATTGGTATTTGATATTAAGGGTGCCTATTTATTTAAGAACTTTATTAATTTTTTAGTCTCCAGGTAGTAGTAAACCAAATATGAACGATATAGATAAGGTTTACAACATTGAAACGTAGAGTATAGAAGAGAAGGCATTGAACTTTATTACAATACTCTTTATTTACACCGGTGGTGAAAAAGAGAAAAAAAAAAAAAAGTAACTGCATTGCTATCAATAAATGTTGATAAGTGTCCCACAACGAAAAGGTTAAGTAGAATGACACTAAAACGTCAAATAAGTGGTGAAATTAATAATATATTGAAAGGCTGCACACATAAGTATCTCAACGTCATAGTAAATGTTTTGTGACCGCACCATATCATTGCCAGGTGTATAGGTCATTTAATGTATTTCTGCCTCTTTTTATCTCCTTCATATGTGGTTATAATTGAATTTAATATCAAATTGTTTCTTTGTCAGATAGAAGCAAACAAAAAATAAACAGTGAGAGAAAACTGAAAAAAAGATATTACCTCTTCAAATTCAAACTGACAATGCTGTCAAATATTTTTTTTTCTCCTAAACTGTCACCTTGAAGTTGATATGTATGGAGAGTTGGAATATTTAATGACCAAAGAAAAGCAACTTAAATCCCCAAATATTAGATTATGCTAGAACTGTTGTTTTTGGTCTTCTTGCTGCTCGTCTCAATGAATATAGTGATATCTTGTTTAGTGAGCCTATTTTATGTTTCTTCTTCGTGAGGCTTTAAATAGAGAATGAATTATTTGTGTTCGTCGTGTTTTTGTAAGAAGGTAACCAAAGTGCTCATTGGTTGGCGAATTTTAGGCATAACTTTGAGTTAGATTCCCATATTTTCTGTCATCCTTCCTAGGGTCTCTCTGTTCTACTTTTTGCTGATATAAATGGAATTATTTTATCCCGTACGTATTAGGCGTTTGTTGTCTTTATTATGAGCTTAAATCTCGTTTACTACCAAAAAAAAAACAAAACAAAACAAAAATAAATCGATACTATTATTGAATTGAATACAGATTCAAAAATATTAAGCATTAGGGGGAAAAGAAATTTAAGAATACATATGAATTGTTGGATCACAGTCTTGTAGTTAAAATTCGACTGTGAGTTCCACTAATGCAAAGTCCCTTGTGTATTCTGATAGTTTTTTCTTAAAAACTTATACACCAGTCCTGCATTTACAACTTAACACTGCTAAGTTGTAAAACCCAACCAATTAAAGACTTACACACATAAGAATTAACTAAAAAACTAAAACATCTGGGATAAAAGAACATTGTAATTTACTGTTTCATTGTTCATCACTGTAGCTTAGGTTTTTTTTTTTTTTTTTTTTTTGTAATTTTCAAGTTGTTTTATTTTGGTTTATAAAATTTAAAATAAAAATTTTAATCCCCTAAATGATGCACTACACATGCCTTTTTTTCTTTGGTTTTTTCTTTATTTTTTTCCATCAATTTATGTTTTTTATTTAATTGGATATTAAAATTTTGAAAAATCAATTTTTCCTTTACTTTTTCCATCAATTTATGTTTTTGTTTTAAATTGGGTGTTAAAATTTTAAAAACTCAATCGTAACTTTTTTTCATACAAATTGATTATTATATAATATATCTTTTTATATTTTAAATTTAACATATACTTCAACTTATATTACTGTTATTAATTAAATTTCATTCTTTGAATTTATCAATTTTTTATAAAAATTCTCATCCAATTAATATTTTTTATATGAAATTTTATTTACTGATATTATATAATTTATTTTTCTCTATATTTGAATTTTAGAATAAAATTTTAAAACATGATTGTTTTTTCTTTTTTAAAAAATAAAGTGGTATAATATGCATCATGAATTTTTAGAATTTTTAAATAATAGTTGCATATATATATAATTATTTTATTTTGAAAGGTTAAATATATATTTCAAATAGTTTATCTCGAGTCACCAAGTATGATTAAGACGTATAAAAAAAATTATTAAATCGTTAATTTTATTAAAAATTAACTATGCATCTTTCAACATAATACAAATTATTAGTATAAATATTTTTTTAATATTATAGAACCAATTTATTTGGAATAAAATAATTAAAATAAAATTTTAAAGGAACCAACCATTTATTCAAATACTGTTTTTTATGCTAATTTTATTGATTATTTTGTAAATAAATATATAGATCAAATGCATATACTTGAAAACAAAATCTTCCCATTAACATTAAATAAGAATAAAATTTTATATGTTCATTTGTTAATTTTTATGCAAGTCTATACATTAGTTGTAACTTTATTTTCTAGATACATTTTTATAAAAAATATAATTTTAAAGTATTTGTTTTTAAATTTTTAATTAATATTTCGAGTTTAAATTATTACAAATTTTTATTTAAAAATCCCCGAACAACGAAGAATAGATTATGTTTTTTTTAAGTATAAACTTTATGAAAAACACACAAAAAATTAATAATTAAATAAAAAATTAATGAAAAAATTATAACATTTTGAAATTACTTTGTTCTATTTACTCGTAACGTTGCACGGATAAATTCAAAAATTAATTTTCTCATCAACATTAAATAAGAATTTTTTTTAATTTATTAATTTTTATAAAAGTTTTTTCATTAATTATAACTTTATTTTTTGAAATACAATATTGTGAAAATTATATTTTATATTTTTTCAATTCTTAATTAATATTTTAGTTAAAATTATTTCAATTTTTAAATTTAAATCGATCCAGAGATAAGAATGATTTATTTAAAAAAAATTATAAAAAAATTAAATAAAATTAATTAAATAAAATATTAGAATTAAAAAATTTTAAAAATTTAAAATAATTTTGTTCTATTAGACATGTTGTGTAGCACGGATAATCGGCTAGCATATAACTATATCAAGAAAATAGTCATGAAAAAATCTCTTGAGTAAATTATAAATCAGTTCATCTAGTTTCAATAAACAATTTAAGTAATTTTTTTTGTTTTAAAAATTTATTATTTAGTCTTTATATATATATATATATATATTGTAATTTAATTTTTTTCATTCACTTTCAATTTACTTTGATTTTTTATTTTGAAAAGTAAAAAATAATATAAAAGGATTGACTAGAAAAGATGATAGTCTTTTAAACAAGTTATATTAAATTAATCATAATCAATACTGATAAAAAAATTAAACTTATTAATTTACTAAATAGTTCTTTTGAAGGATAATTGTTAGAGAAGTATAGATAAGAATTACCTCCAAACGAATAATTTTTTTTTCACTCTCTTTTCTTTGTTCTTTTTACTCAGAAACCACAATCAAATAAATTCTCCGATCTTCCATCGCTTAGTCCCCCCCCTCTACCAACAATTTGCACGGAGTCTTCAATTTATCAATGCACCCGTCATTCCTAAACATTGACTTTAAATGCTCATCACAGGTCCTCTCGTAACAATTCATTGCAATTTTTTATTTTCCTACCACGAGCAATCGAAATGGAAGTCATTGCCACGGTCAAAAGTTTAGAAAAATAATTTCAATTCACCTCAAAACCTTTACTGTACATAGCTTTTTTAAAAAAATTAAAGTCAATAATGTAATGCTAAACATTTAAAAATTATAACAAAAACTTCAAAAATACACATGAATACTTCTATCGTGATTTTAAATTGAATCAAATTGTAGATCTTCCTAATCAAATGTTACAAATATAATTTTAATTTTTTATCTTATTTTCTTAGTGTTTAGCATTATTTAAATCAGTATCTCACACACACACATATATATGCTTTTCCTCCTAAAAAAAACTAGAAAATTAAAAAAAAAATCTTATATATATATAAAAAAACATATATGTGTATGTATACGCACGCCTGTGCACGTTTGTGTTTTTCCTAAAAAAACTAGAAAACAAAAAAGGAATTCTTAAAAAAAAAAAAAAAATTTCTAAAATTTTGTATTTTAAAGCACTCAATTCCAAAACTTGAAGCACCCTGAGTTATTATCTAATAAAAGCTTAGCAATACAAAGTGGTTTATTGTTTATTTCAACATCACAAGCAAAATTTCGGCTTTTCTAGCTTTTCCATTCCTTGATAAAAATAAATTAACCTTTCAAGATATTGAAAGATAAACCTTTAGTTTAACCAGCCTTGGCATCCACGAAAGACCCAAGCAAATTAAGATTTGTACAAAATACAAACAAAACGTGATGCATATCTAAAGAAAGTTCCAAACCCCACCACTTGTGCTCAGTGCTGTCCCCCACCCATCTGCTTTTCCTCACACTACATAAACCCCCTTCTCATTCTTTCTCATCCATCCTTCAGGTTTAAAATCCTTCTTAAACCTTATTCAACTCTTCTTCATTACTACCTATTCCCTCGTCTACTTTACTTTGCTATCAACAGTTTGCTCGTAGTTTTTTTTTTTAAGCTAATTGAAGAAAGATGTGTGGCGGTGCTATTTTAGCTGACTTAATCCCTCGTAACCGTGGCCACCGTGGCGCAGCTTCTGAGTTCTGGCCTAACTCATCCTTCAAGAAACTCAGTCCCTTTGAGTCCGATCCGAGCTCACACCGCAATCAGGAGTCATTCACTCCCAAACGACCCCAACCCACTTCAGGTATGTACCGGTTTCTCGTTTCACTTCTTGTTGTAGTTTTTTTTTTTTAATGTTTCAAAGAAATTGATTTTGAATGTGGAATTCGTGCAAAAACAGGGGATCATGAGCAAGTGGAGAAGCCCAATGCCAAGAGGCAGAGGAAGAATCTATACAGAGGTATAAGGCAAAGACCTTGGGGTAAATGGGCAGCTGAGATTCGTGACCCAAGAAAAGGAGTCCGTGTTTGGCTGGGTACCTTTAACACTGCCGAGGAAGCAGCTCGAGCCTACGACAGAGAGGCTCGCAAAATTCGCGGCAAGAAAGCCAAAGTCAATTTTCCTAACGAAGATGGTCATCACGGCACCATTTTTCAAAACTCGAATGCAGAGCCTCCTCTGTACCAAACCCCCACTTGTCATTCCTCAAAAGGTTATGATTTTGGGTATGGTTATGGTGTAAACCAGATCGAAACCTACCCTTCAAATGGTTTTAATAGCGAACCTATTGTTGCTTATGGGAAAGATGATTCTGGGTCCTGTTCAGAGGAGGTAACCGGATTGGTGGGTTGTAATCAGAATGTGGAGAGTAATAATTATACGGGTCGAGTGAAGGTGGAAGTGGAAGAGGAGGAGAAGGTGAAGAATCAGAAGGTGGTGGTGGTGGATTTGGCAACTGCAGAGGAAGAAAATGAGGTCCATAAGCTGACTGAGGAGTTAATGGCGTATGAGAATTTCATGAAGTTTTATCAGATTCCCTATATGGATGGACAATCAATGGCACCAAACTGCACTACCCAGGGTAGCCTTGTGGGTAACCTTTGGAACTTCGATGATGATGGTGTTGCTGCTCCTGTTTCGGCACCTCTGTAACGGCGACGGCAGTGTTTATGTTTTTCCTTTTTTTCTGGTTTTGTAAATTGGGCAATTGATGATTAATTATGTTTTGTTTTTGGATTGTTCTGTTTCAATGTATAGGAATTTAAATTCTTGAATTTGCTGTCAAAATGTAATTTTGTGAGTTAACTGTCAATTAATGAAAAATTTATGCTTCAATTTCGTGTTTTTATTTTCCGCTTGGTAAGATAAGATTTCAAGTGTTAAAAGTTCTCGAAGTATTTCAATTTCAGTGAAAAAGAAATGAAAGGGTATCGAAACAAACTTTGAGCGCCACAAAAGACTTCGAACCGTGAGGATCTGCTGCTTTATGCATGCATTCCCTTGGCACAAACAAAAATTGTTTAGGATGGAAGGGTTCATAAAATTACTTTCTAAATCTTCTTCGCAAGTAGGAAATCATGGTGTACTAATTCAGACCCCAAAATATGGTATTCATTAATGAATAATTAATTGTTTGGTAATGGGAAGGCCGTAGAAAACTGGGGCGTCAAAAGTGTCAGACGGAGAGTTTGAGATTTGAGAAGTTAAACGCGGCGAAGTGGTTGTTGGAAGCAAAGTCAACACAAAGCTGGCGTGTTGTGTAAAACAAGTAGGGCAGGGCATTTGGAGGCGAAGGTGGTAAATTTGGAACTTCCAACTGCGCTTATGGTTTTGGGTTTCCTTTATTTGGCTGCAAAACTAGCGACTGGCGAGCACGGTGGGCGCCCCTTGCTTATGCTCTATTCCTTTCTTAGGCTTCAAGACAAAACGCAGTACATACTATATTGCTTTGCTGCCCAAAATGCCTTTGTGGACAATGAATCCTGTTGTATGGTGGACGTGGGCCCATGGGCCAAATTTTGTACGCGGTAGCCGGTAGGCTCTTAGCTTTTTGCCAGGCTATGTGGACCGGGGACACCCTTGGGCCGTTTGGCGCATAGTTGTTCAGTCCGTCACAACCCGATAGGTCCATCCATCTAAAAACTCGGTGAACAGTACTAAGGACCAGGGATTACTATTAAATAAAATCTAGAAAAGGGTCAGGGGGAGAGAGGGAGAGAGAGAGAGCGAGAGCGGGTGGGGGGCGGGCGTAGGGCGGGGTGAATCATATGATCGAATAATGAAACTTTCACCTTTTCAGTACTATTACATAAAACTACTAGTATCTCGGTTCAAAAAAAAAAAAAAAAAATTTCAATCTTTCTATTTATATCCGTCTTAAGGTATAACTGGTTAAATTTTTAAAAGATCATTCACCTATAGAGATGAATGCTCTAAAAAAATTAGAATGATATTTGTATTTTTATATTGCATTTAGAATATTAATAAGAAATCAAAATAAAATTTAAAATTTTTTTAAAAATAAAAGTCATGATTAAAAAAATAATTTCATCAAATATAATAATAATAAAAATAATATAGGTGATTGTGGTGACAATAATAGTGATGGAAGATGAGGAAGAAATGATAGTAATAATAATAATATAATTTTTAAAAATTGATATCACCACCATAAGAGGTGATAGCAAAAAAAAAAAAAAAAAAGGTGGCGGCATAACATAAATGATAATGGTGACGAAGAAAGTGTAATTGCTGAATAATAATAGTAATTTTTTTTATCATTACTTTTAATGGTGGTGGTAGTAGAAATAATTAATATGTAATAAATAAAAATAACATATCATTATTTTGAAAAAAAATCATTAATATTCTTTTTATTATTATTCTCAAATTCTTCTATATGAATGAAATTATGTTTAATTTTTATTTTTATTCTTACTATTTGTTTTCATTTTCACTTTATTCTCTTTAACTAAACATCTATAAAATAGAAATAAAACTTTTATTATCATTGTCGATCATTTAGTTTCTTGTCACAAAACAATATCTAAATAGTTTACTCCCTTAAAATACCCATGACATTGTGCAAAAAATTATATAAATCTATTTTTTAATTAAAAAAGGATATTGTAGTAAATTATGAAAAAAATGTTGATATAACATAATAATTAATAATTTTTTTAATCTGCATGAAAAGTACAAAAAAAAAAAACCTCTTTAAAACAGAGAAAATAACACCATAAAAGTTTGTAACTATTATACTATTTTATTATTATTATTTTTTACAAAAATGCCTGCTGTTTTTTTTTTTTTTTTTTCCATGTGCAAGACTATCAAATTTACAATCAACTTTGAAGATGTACCATTGTGAAAAAGTTTTATTAACACGCAATTCTCCATTTCTATCCAAAGATAAGTATAGATTTTAGTATTCATGTGATAAGAGTAAATTATAAATTAGTCTGTCTAGATTAGAGAAAGTAATTAATTATTTTTTATACTAATTATTTTGTTCTCTTCGTTTTAATTTTTTTAATAATTTCGTTTTTTTACCAATTTTTTATTTATTAAATTAGTGATGTTTGTTACAAAATTGTATTTTTTTTTTCAGTTGAAGAGAGAAAAAGGAAATGGATGAATAAGAGAAATAATGCATTAAAAAAAAGACAATTTGGGAAAAAAATATTAATCTAATATAAAACTGATGAAAAGATTAAATTATTGATTAAATTAATACATTAAGAATTAAATAAATAAATTTTAAAATAAAATAAACTAATTAATTAGTTTCTCGAAATAAGAAATACTAATTTATAATTTACTCCATGTTATGGATAGGTGTCTCATATAAAAAACAACTAAACTAAATGAGGCAAAACGTATGTGAAACAACTTGCAGTAAGTCGCCTGTTCAAAACATGTAAAGGATTGTTCATTGATGCATGTAATGATATCGCAAGAAGCTTCACTTTAATACGTGTAATAATTAATAGTAATTTGAACAGTACTTTGTTACGCACAAAATATTCAAACGATCAATCAATACAGTTAAAAAGGCTCCATAACGACAATTCTAAAATAGCTCATTATTGAATCCTCTAGAGATTGAACAAGAGGTGCTTGAAGATATTGCTACGTAGAGTTTGTCTCCTCAAGAGGTCGGACGGAACCAGACCTTGATTTTTTCCACTAAAACTACGCATTTCCCTTCAACCTTCCTGGCACTTTTCATTAACAATCCAATGTTCTTCAAATCATAGCCGGTGACACGAGCCCGCAAGCTGTCCGGATAACAAATTAACATGCACCAAAAGAAAGATGCAACAGGCATTTCGTGATACATTTCAAAAGATGATTGACTGGGGTCCTAGCAACATTGTTCAGTATCCACAGGCAACTGATTTTCACCAGTTTCTATCCCCTTGAGGGAATTACTGTAATACTATCCCCTTAACTATATATACATTATTGTAATACATTAGAAGACCAAACGACCGGTCACTGGAGAAAAGAAAAGATCTTCTTAACGTCATACTCTCTTTTGCCAACCAACTAACGACTAACGAGGCTCCAGGTTTGCAGTTAATCGAAACAGCTAGCAACGATCGAGTCGATATAGGCCTAGCTAACAGCAGCTGACTGGGAGTCAATTCAAGTAGAAGACTGAAATTGGCCAAATGACATTGGACATGGTAAGGAGAGGATGCCTGGTTTATTTATGACACTAAAAGTCAATGAGTTATTGATTCTTGACAAAAACATATTTATGGCGTCATTTACACAATTGGATTTTTATGATTTCGTCCTTCAGGCATAGTTCTCTCTGTGTAAAGTGAATCCACTTTTTCGTTAATTTTAATTTTTAAAGAGAAGGGACATGTGTCAGTTTTTCACTGGCTCTAACTTCATAAAAATAAAAAATGATTATAATTTAAAAGAAAATTTGTTTAAAAGTTTTCAAATTATTTACTTATTTATATCTTTTTTTTATTTATGTTGAATTTTTTTTTACTTTGTTTTAAAAGGATGAAATAATAAATAAATATAAACTGTTCAATTTTTTGTGTTTTAATTTTATATTAATTTATTCTGAATTCATTATTATTATTTTTTATCTAACTATTTGTTTATTTACTATAGAAAAATTTTTATTTTATTTTTTACTTTTTTAAAGAGTTAATTTTTTTTTATCTCATCAATGAAGGATAAAAATAGGGATTTATTGATGAAACATACTTGATTCAAATTTGTGTTTTTTTCCATAAGCATGATTTTCTAATTTAATTTTTCATAAATTTTTTTATTTAATGTGTTTGAGATTTTATTATTTTTGCATAAACTTTATTTCTTTCCTAATGTTTTCCTTTGGCTTTTGAAAATAAAATAAAAACTCGTCTAGAAAGATAAAAAACTATAAACATTTAAAAACAATCCAGTATAAATTAATAAAAAAATTAACAAAAGTTTCTAATGTAAATGAAAATATTTGAAAAATAATTTTAGCCATAAGTAAATAAAAAGTTGGATTTTTTTTTTTGTTTTGAATTTTTTTTCAAATTGTTAATCAAAATTTCTTTTTTCTTAAATTTAGAACCAACCAATAGTAAGTTGATATGTGTCCTCCTCTTTAAAAATCAAAATTAAGGAAAAAGTAAGTTGACTATAGGACCTCTGCTGCCTAACAGACCAAATCATAAGGACCCAATTATCAAAATTAAAAACCATAAGGATATCTTTGTCAAAAATCAATATTAGAGGGACTTTAGTGCCATTAAACGAGGATGTTCCTTGTTTTTCCGATGGTATGCAAAATTCCCAAACTGATCCCTTTCACTAACTCCAGCAGTCAACCAGTCCCACACCCCTGAAATCCCAAACAGATTAGAGAAGCAGAATAAATTAGCAGAGACCAAATCAACACAAGCTATAATATATTAGTATGAGAAAAAGCAATGCCAGGGTGTGCTTGTGCATAAGCGGGGTCATTTTTATCCAACAAATTACTGCATAAACCATGAATCAATCGCATTTGAGCTCAGCACCTTTTTTTATACCCATAATCACAGCCAAATACAACTAACTACAAAGTGATTTGTAGGATTGCTTAATATATAACTAATTTCCTATTCTTTGGTTACGTATTAGCCTGATATATTATATCCATGCTTCCAAGTTATTCGTCAACACCTTCATTTGTAATGAGCCCCCAAACAATATCACAAAGGACATTCGTATATTTACAATCAGTTTTGTTCCTTAGATACCTATCTGCTTCGATAGGTATCTAAAGACTTCTTTCATAACGTGGATTGGAAGAAGCAACCACATCAATTCTCTGAACAGAGGCTTATGTCCAATGATATCTCCACTTCCCTCATTTGCTCGCCCTCTAGATGCAGCATGGTGCACAGATGGATCATCTGGATTGTTGCAGAGTCCAAGTTTGACAATGAAAGTAGCCACTGTACCTTTGTCAAGGCCTTCGCTTTCTATCCATATCTGCCCCCCCATGAGAGTTACAAACCTGATTCCCATAATTTGAGAGAAGGAAAACAAGTAAAAAATTAAAAAAAAAAAAAAAAAAAACTTAATTTCACAGATGATGGGACAGAGCCCAAAAATAATGACATAAAAACTTCTAAAAACTTTGCAAGGCAATGTAAGGGATTTAGCTCTACCGTTTGCAAATGGCAAGTCCAAGTCCTGCACCACCATTTCTTCGACTAGATCCACTTCGCAGCTGAGCAAACTTAGTAAAAAGTAGCGGGACATCTTGGGGGAGAACACCCCAGCCAGAATCCTTAACCTGTAGCAACCAACAAGATAAAGTTAACAACAAACTTGACCACATTCCAGACAACCTACGAGGATGAAGCAAGCAGAAAATGATGCATTGTTTAACATCCAACTTACGGATATATGCTGGCACCAAGGTTTCATATAAGTTAATCATGTTAGACAGTATAGAAGTCTGAAATACCATAATCCAAATAGTTGTCATGAAGCTGCCAAAACTGCAAGTCCATAACATACCAAGAGATGCCTTTAACCTTATAAATGTTTGCTATCTATTATTAACATGGATGGAACACTGTTCTACAGTTATCTGGGCAAAACCAGAATTTACTAATTAAAAACCTGCACTCGCAGATAGAAGTGGCCATCACTCGGCATTGGGTAAAGCTCAGGAGGCCGCCAGTCTCTCAAAGAATCTGATTTTGCAACAGAAACTACAATTGAAACATAACCCTCCTTCGTGAACTTGACAGCATTGCCCGCAACATTCAGAATAGTTTGTATAAGCCGTTTCTCATCACCAACTGCACATGCAGGCAAATCTGGGGACATAATTAAAGTCATAGATAGCCTTTTAACAGATGCAATGGGCTTTATCAAATTAACAGCCTGCATTTACAAAAGAAAAAAGAGCAATAGTGTTACAGCAATGCCTCTATGCACAGTGCCAACTTGTATCGAATCCCATTAGTGTAGGTTCAAAGTAGAAAAATTAGGATTTGTCACCTCTCTGAAAACCTCATGAAGATTAAATGTCTGAAGGTCTAATTCTAAGCTTCCATCTTCAAGTCTTGAAAGATCTAGCAAATCATTAGTAAGTGTTGCCAAGAGGTTACCACTCTTTAATACTGTCTCAATCATTGCTCTTTGCTCGGTAGTTAGTTCAGTCTCTAAAAGTGAAGACAAAGTGATAACCGCATGCATCGGTGTCCTAATTTCATGGTTCATGACCGCAAGGAAATCATTCCGAGCATGTATTGCCATTTCTGCTTCTTGACGAGCTGAATTTAAAGCAACATTCTGCTCCATTAACTGATCATGTGCCCGCATAGACTCTTCAAGAATAGCAGTGTGAGAAAGAGCAACTGCTACCTGATGAATGTCAAAAGAGATTTCAACACTGAACAACAATCTTGGAGTACAGTTTAACTTTCAAATTATCGCAGATACAATAGTCTTGCTTACAAACATCTGATGCAAGGAAGGAACACAAGGAATTGTTTATAAAGGTATAATGAGACGGTGCCCAAAGTGAAACATGACATCCAAAAAATACATTTGTGATGTTGATCGTTCTCATAATGCTCAAAATAACAGCATATTCTAGCAGGTAGTTAGCTGGCAAAGATGATAGGATCTGAAGTGCCAACAGTTGGTTTCTTTTCTTCTTGCAGCATATATTTTCATTTATGAATGAATTTATGCAGTTATGAATGGCAGCTTACTCCTTGGACATATTCACACCGAAGAAACAACATGACTAAACCGCATATTCCACGGGGAAATGCCAAAACCGAAACATTAAGCTGAGCAATGAGACACCCCACGCCTATGCAAATTTTCAATCCCTTGTGTATGAAAGATAGCTCGCAAATGAACTTTTATATGCTAGCTTTTCCACCAATCATGCTATCTCATCATTTCATAAGCTTATATGCAAACAAGAAGCGTGAACTAGACAAACTAAAAGTGAATACAGCATGAGTATATGGAACAACTAAATAAGAACATTTCAACATTTCTATGACGCAGAAACAGAAAGAGAGCAGTTAATTCATAAAACTACCTGGTCCTCAACAACTTCAACAAGTTCCAATTCATGGTCCCGCCACGTTCTAGCACTTTCTGTTGGTAGAATCAAAACCATGAATGCGTAGCTTTTTGCAGAGAGTTCGGGCCAATCATTAATTTGGAAATTCGACAGATGTAAAAGAGGTACACGAACAGCAACAACCTCTGGTGGCAGGTACCCACCTACAAGAGGCCCGATCCTAGCCAGCGGGCAGGTATATGGTATACGCTTTACTCGAGTAGTACTGAAGACTTCGTTGACTATAGGAAGATTTATCGGTACAGAAGATCCCACTTGTATATGGTAGTTCAGGGTGTGAGAAAGTTGCAAATTCAAACCAGTTCTTGAAGGCATCCACAACGCGCATTCCTCAAGGCCTAAGGTCCTACCGAGCTCAACAAGAGTGGTTTTCAATATAGTATGCCTGTCAAGTGTGCTTCTAATTTCATGAGTTAGCATTCTAACATGCCTTCCAGTTTCTTCCAGTGTGAGGATAAGACCCATCTCCCGATCAAGTTCTTCAGCCTTGTTCTTCAGAAATAATTCCCGTGTTTTAATTCTCAGTAGATCAGGAATAATGTGGACCAGCAGTTGCACATGATACTACAGCACAAGCAATTTTTGCAACAGTCATCACCACAGCAACACCTTTTGAATGCATCGAGAACGTCCACAAATTTATAAAGTGGGTTGCTCCGCAAGGAACAATGAAGGCACCGAACTGCATAAGCACCCATCTGTATGGAAAGAATGCTGATTTTTGTACAAAGTATATATAAGCTCGATAGGAATCGAGAAGTATGCCAAGGCAATTAAAACATCCGATATATACTGATATTTGAGAAGAAGTTCTACATGGGACCATTGTGTATCAATGCAATCACAGGACTCCATCCTTCCGGAAAATGCCGAAGTAAACCTTAAGAATTAAGCAATAAAAGCACATCACAGAAAGCATTGCAATAATGATTCCATCACCTACTAGATGATTTAACAGAGTAAAAACCACCACTCTTTCTTACTCCGCATATAATGTTGCCAAAAATAGTATGAATCAAGAAATATAATTACCAATCCGGCGGTGACACATCTTCTCAAACGAAACAAAATTTGGACATTTTTTTTGGAACTAATAAAAAATACCAATCCAATTACATAAAGATCAAACTTAATTGTTTTGGCCTACAGCTCTTATCTCATAATTCTTTTCAAGCCACTTCATCAGTGTTAGAACTAATTACACAAAAGTTGTGCGACAGCTAATAATTTCAAAAGAAAACTGCCAAATTAAGCTAGTATGAAATTAAAACTGCGTATTATCAAAGCTAATCATGATCAAAACAGTGATCATGCAAAATCCACAGCTTTTGCACTCATAAGCATACTAGATAATTACAACATAAAGACAAGTAAGAAAACAAAAATCATAAGCAATTAGAAGAAAATTTAGAAGAAAATAATCATCAATATTTACCCAGACGTAAGGAAGAAGAAACAGATGGCCAGAAACCAGTTAGAGCAGAGGTTCGAGAGAGCAGTCCATTTATAATGCGGAAGATTGCTCTCACATTTTTTGTGACTTCGTAAGAAGAAGTAGGAGTTGTAGTGGTTAAATACTGAGAAAAAAGAAACCAGTCAAGCGGAGGGAGGGAGGGAGAGTCACCTAAAAGCGTCACGGACAAGAAGGAAGGTTGACGCGCGAATTCGAAGACACTGTACCACGTGAGAATCCTTCCTTGGATCTTTGAAAGGAGAAATTCTATAATACGTAAAAGATATATAGTAATTACTTTATATATATTTTTTAAAAAAGAGATAAATATGATAAAATAGAGAATTGTATCTGAATTTATAAAAAATAATAAATACAAAAATTCACGTTCGCATCAATTTTTTTTTAATTTTATCTTTTTGTTTTATTTTTATTTTTATTTTTATGTGTTTATCTTTTTTCTCAAAATAAATCTATAAGTTAATAGAATAATTACTATATATATATATATATATATATATATATATATATATATATATATATTGTGTATCATAAAATTTATCATTTCAAAGGATGTTATAAAACATGGCAAGTGTGTTTGGGTCATTTGTGGTTGGTGATTCTATATATTTTGGTTAAGTACCCTGAATGTGTCTTTATATGGAAATTGGAAAAGTGCAATGCGCTCACTTAGGTCAATTTGATAAAAATGCCTAATCTTTTTTCTTTTTCCTTTCAAAACAGTGAGGAATTTATTTGTTTATCCACACCGTCTATCATTGGGTTGATTTGATTACATTTGTTGTCCCTGTACTTCACTGATATAAATGGTTAAATCCACTTACTACTAATTTGATGGATTGAGTCCTTTTCTTATTCCTTTTGCTTACGATGTAGACCCTCCATCCATTTCTACTGTGAATAGTTAATGATCAAGGCACTCAATATTTGATGCACCTCGTTTCACCCTATTTATCAAGAGAAAATGATACTACCATTTGTTTTGTAATTTTTTTAAAAGAATTTGATTTAATATAAAGAAACATAAACTAATCTCATTAAAGACAACTTTTCATTTATCCTCTCCCTCTTCATTCCCATCCTTTTGTCGTCTAAAATAAATTCATGTACATAAGAATGATTTGATCGAAAATTATGTAATAAAAATGGGAAAGAGGTGGCAAGAAATTTGATTAGGGTTTGGACATGGAAAAAAAAGTGATTTTTTTTTGCAAATTGCATATTCAATGGAGTGTCATTTAATTAGTAGACAAATTGTTTTGATTCTAATTTAAATGATTATAATAGGTTTTCTTTTTACTTTCAATTTTGTTACTATTCTTTTTTTTTCTTTTTTATATTTTGAATATCGTATCAAATTTGGGCTAAAAGGATAGGTGTCAATCAACTAGAGATCATCTGTTATTCGATAATGATATTTTAAAAAGATAAGGATAGGGTCCAATTATAAATAAAAACGAAATAAAGGGACTCGGTGTATCAAATTAGAAGGAAAGCGATTTAATTAAATAAATTGATCGTGTCCAAACTATGCGTACAATTAGCCCATTTATCATCTACTAATATTTTTTTTTAGGTCAAAGATACACACGCACACACAATGTAGTTCAGATAGTAAATGAGAGGTTTAATGACAAAAATTATCCCTATTTATTGTAATTTGATAATTTTAAATCTTTATTATTAATTTATGTAATTTTAATTCTACAATATCAATTTTTTAGCAAATCTTATCCAAATTGCATTTTTTCCATCATACAATGTAGTTCAGACAGTAAATTGGAGGTTTAATGACAAAAAATATGCTTATTTTATTGTAATTTGATAATTTCAGATCATTATTATTGATTTATATAATTTGAATCCCAAAATATCGATTTTTTAGCAAATCTTATCCAATTTGCATTTTCTTCATTATTTATGACGATCAATCCGATTGACCGTTAACTTTTTATTTTTTTGTTAATTTTTTTGCTGTTAATTTTAAAAAAATAATTTAATTTTTTTTCTATTTTTCAAGAGAGATTTTTTTCCACCCGTTTTATCTATAAATAAAAAAGAGTTCATTAAATTTATCACTAATTTTGTTCTTGTTCTCCTTGAAAAAGAGCTTTCACTTTTTGAACCTATCTTTAAAAAACTAAAAATAAAATAAAATTAGAAATTTTTTTAAAAATGGTTTTTTAACTCTAACAATTTTAAATGTATATTATATATTTGAATCAATTGTGAGAATACAAAATCCTACAAAATATGTGAAAATAACAAATATTAAATAAATACAGTTATATTTAAAATTTAATGATTGACAATTACAAGAATAAATTTACTAGCATGACAAAAAAAGTTTCAGTTAAAATTAATTATTTAATAATTTTAATTAATCAAATTTAATCAATAGATATTTGTATTTTATTAATTATAGAAGTTGATTGCTATAATAGATAATGATACTACATAAAAATTATTTTTTAAAATTGAAAAAAGTTATATATAAATAACAATTTGATTGAGTGTGAAAAATCAAAGGGTTTGATATGAAAAATTTTTAAATAGAAATAATCTTTCTTGAAAAATAGAGGAAAAATATTTTCAACCTTTTTTTTTAATTGACAATAGAAAAAAATAAGATTCAACTGAGTTAACTGTTACCAATAACAAACAAAATGCAATTTGAATAAAATTTATCAAAAAATCAATATTTTGAAATTCAAATTATATAAATTGAGAATTGCATAATTGGAATAGAACGAAAGCAATTTTTGCCATTAAGTCATAAATGAGAAGAACAAGTAAAACACTTGAAAAACCTAATGGATTAGGCGGTGAGCATCTCTTGTCTTTACAGGAAAAAAAAAAAAAACATTCTGAATACCTCAAAAACTTATTATAATTCATATGAAAAAACTAATTTGGTGAATGCAAATTAACCTCTCTCTCTCTTTTTTTTATGAAAATAAAAACAAATTATCCAAGAGGGTTGGTTTGAGTGAAAAATGGTTCTAATTGTTTAAACAGATGATCTCGATTTTGAATTTTTATATATACAAAAAACTCTTTGGGTAACCGTATCTATTTTGTGCACAATACCGAATAACGAGGAATTAGTATGGGTTTTTAAGCTTGGAATATCCCAAGATCCAAAAAAGAAAACAAAAAAGATGCAAATTAACTTCACATGGTAAACTCCATCAATAAAATCATTTTCCATCATCTTAATTTGTTTTTCTTAAAATTAAAGTTTCATCCACTTTTTAGATACAAAAAATAAAGAACATTGAAGATATTGTCAAATAAATAATCGGCCTAACAATAAATTAAAAAAAAAATCAAATATTAATTCAATTTATCATTTTTATTGTAAAAGAGAAGTTCAAACTCTAGATTTTTTAAAAAAGAAAAGAATATTAATACCAGTCGAGTTTTAAATTAATCGATTGTCAAATAAAATTTTTATAGTAGAGATACATGCTAATTTTTATTTTTTTCAATCTTTATAACTAACTATTACTACAGTCGAAATAGAAGCAAGGTGATCTTCAACTCAATCACAAATATTTTTAAATGATGTCATCAAATTCGTTTAACTGAAGTAACAGAAATAACTAATGATTAATTAATGAAATTACTTGTTAAATTGCTTATATCGCCATGTAAAGGGTGAGAAGGACCATGCTGCAAAGCATACGGTCATTACAATGATGCGACATAATTCCGCCACTCATGTCGTGAACTGTGATAGGTACCGACCACCTCTTCCTAGATTCACATAATTAGTCCAGAACTGGCAACTGGCACATATAGTTCTGGGATGGGAGAGATTTTCAAAATGGGTTTTATATTTATCTCTTACATTTTTTTTAATGTTTCATGTCTAACATTGCTACGTCCGCTAAACTTTCTTAAAATATATATATTACACTATGTATATATAAAATAATACCTCGTTTTTTATTTAATTTATTTTTCGATTAAGAATATTGAAACCAGTTTAACGTGACACAATTTCTATCTCACAAAAAGAAAAGAATAATATTAATTACGTAATACTTTTATATAATTTAAAACATTTTCTTAAAAATAAGTCTATAATAAAACTTCCACACATTTGTTCAAAAAAATAAAATTTTTACACATGTTAGTATAATAAAACAAAAACATTATACTTTTTATATATTAAAAAAAAAAAATCGTGGCATCGAAGCGGATATCTAGGGAACACATGAGGAGTTTTGAGAGATCTTTATGAAAATATCTTATGTACTTTCTATAGAAATTCAATATTCAAATGAAATGGGTGTGCCGAATATTCAGAAAATTTGGTTGAATAAATATTTTTTCTGAAAAATCTTGGAAGCTTCGGAACAATTTTAATGTCATCTTTAATCTGATTTTGCGTTTAAAATTAGTGTCTTTTGCTCTTGTATTTTTTTTTAAAAAGAATCATATTGCCGATTCTATAGCTAAATCGAATCTCCATAAATCTACTGATTTATTAGCTTGGTTGTAATATATTTTTTGCTAGCTCCTTGCTAGCTTCATTAATCTGATCGTTGATTTCATATATATATATATAT